AAGCCACAAGCAACCGTAGCGGCTCGTGAAGTTCAATGACAAGGAGCACAAAATTAAGACCTGGAAAGCCAGGGACAGCCCTGTAGGCTGGGTCAAAATTAAACTGTGCCTGTAATAAGGCACCACTCTGACGTAGATCAGCTCGGGCTCTACTGAGAACCCTAGGCAGGTGAGGAAATTCTTTGGCAAACCCCACAGAATTTATATCAATCTCTTGGCAGCCCACAACTAGCCAACTCATTCTCACCTTTGGAGGGAGCAAGAGAAATGACTCAGTATGCCATACATAAATAAGGGAAAGTAACTGTGTAACCAGCCTTTCCTCTCCCCACCAAAACAAAACTGTAAGATAACCAAACAGATAATGAGGGAAAGTTTCTCTTTTCGTACGTATTCCAGGAAAAGAGGTAACTAGACCGTCTACTTCCACAAACGTTGGAAATTTTCCAAAATCAAAATCTAAAACAAATAGAAACGGAAACTAATTCAGTTCTTTAAATAGCAGACAATGAAATAAATTAGCTCATTACAAACAAACAAACGAACAATAATCTGAGTCCTATTTATAAAGCAGGAAATAAAACTTCTTGGACTAGGTAGTTATGTGACATGATCAAAGAGGAGAGTCTAAATAATACACCACTATGGCATGAACTAATTAATTTCTTCTATGGCAGAACTTACACATCTTCTTCTACTCGAAGCTGTTGAATATGAGATTTTATTTTCTGTCCTGAAGTTTTCAAGATGATATTTTCTAGGAGGTGGAAATCATCTTGATTAAAAAGCTCACTATCCTCCAGTGGCCCAATGATCTATAAGAGGAGAGCAGGAGGTCAGAGCTGGAAAACTATCTGCCACCAGCAACAGGCCAACTTACGCACCTAAGCACCAGAAAGATGAGAGAAACATGCACATCTAAACAAAATTAATGGACGACTAAAAAGTAAAGCCTCAATCAACTCAGGCATTTACTTAATAATTCCTCAGGTACGCAGAGTCTAGACTTGTTTCACATTATTTTCACGGTACGCAAACTCTGAAGTAAATAAAACAGCAAGGTAGTTTTCATTACATCTTACCAAGTATCAACAACAAGACCTACTTTATGTGTCAAAGGCTACTGATGTCTGTTCTGAGAGCCACCACACTCTCACTACCTCCCACAGTAGCAGGACACAACTAAACAGGAAGCTTCCACACTGGGATGTTTGTGTCAGAAAACACACTGCCTGGGAAATGAGGGGTAGAAATATCATCGCACTTCAGAAGCCCTAATCACCTTTGTAAAGAGGGTGGCTCTGCTGGAAGAGTTTACTAGCTTCAGAGGAGCATGCTGCAAAGACTGTTCACCGACCTAATCTGAAGCCAAGCTTGTGTCAGCCTGACAAGTCCTCACCCTTCCGTTGCTGATCACTGCCCTCTGTCCCTTCTTCAGCTTCAGGACATCCCTGCAGTACACGGCATGAGACAAAATGAAATCCATTTTGGAAGACTCAAACACCTCTTTAAAAAGACTGAAATCCATGCCCTAGGAAAGTAATCATTTTTGAGGAAAAAAATCATTGTTATTAAGCAAACCATACAAATAAATACTCATAATGAATAAATTATAATTTTTTTTTTATGAACAGTAACTACATTTCTCAACTAACATCATAATGTATCAATTCTTCAAGCACCCCCACCTCAACAAGTAACTGCTTATTTTGTTTCCATGGGATTTGTTCCAGTGGTAGTCTCTTCTCCAAGATTTATTTTGTACTTTTAAAATCTTGGTAACTTCAAGGGACAGCCATTTTTCTCTAACCGAAACTTTATGTACACTCATAATTTTATAAAAAATTTTAAAACTATAAACACTTTTAAAATGAGTATATTAAATAAGTGAATAAATATGAGCTTTTACTGGAAACACATCAAGAATACATAAGCCTCTAACTGAAAAGTGAATAAAATTTCAGTTTTTTACTCTACAAACAAATAAATATTATCTACCTTTTACTTATTTATTTTTGTAGTGCTGGAGATCAAACCCAGGTCCTCACGCATGATAGGCAAGGGCTCTGCTACTGAGCTACATCCCTGCCCTTATCTGTCTTTAAAAAACTGTAGAAAACAGGTCAGAGGTGTAGCTCAGTACACCACACCTAAGAGGCAAGTCTTGAGTTTAATTCTCAGTACTGAGGAAAAAAAACTGCACAAAACAAGGAACTCACACATGCTAAGCATGTACTACCACTGACCTGTACCTCCAGGACTACTTCCTCACTAATTTTTTAACCAAGACTCAATTATTTATCAAAACTCTTAAGTAAAACATTAAGAAAAACACATAAAATAACAAGGCTGATGCAAAATTTTTTTAAAAAGTGAAAAAACAAAGAGAATAATAATTGGTGCTTTAAAAAATCTTAGAAAACAAAAAGCACTGTACTTAAAATATAAACTTGTAGGGCTGGGGAGTTAGCTCAGTGGTTCCAGCATCTGCTTCACAAGCTCAAGGGCCCGAGTTCGATCCCTGGTACCCCCCCACCAAAAAAAAAATATATATACTTGTATCATGAAACCTGAGAAAACTTAAAAATAAAGGGGACCACGACACAATTATTTCTTGGAAAGAGCTTCCTAACTTAAAAAAAAAAAAATCCTGAGATTCAGAACTAATTACAAGAGGACATATCAGCTGGACATATGACAGAAGGGAGCAGCCTCGGGACACACGTGGAGTCTTACCCCAACAGAGAAATCCCCGATGTCTGCCCCGGCCACCAGCGCCTCTGCAGTGTCCTCTTTGACCATTTTAGTGATGAAGTTCTTGGCAGAGTTGGAGGTCTGCGTCTGGAGAGCTGCCCAGATTGCTCTGGAGATCTGAGTGTGCTCATAACTTATTTCTTTACTGGGATTATTGATAATGCTGATCCTAATATTGTTACTGGATTTCTATTTACAAAATGGGACAGAGAGTTACATAATAGGTATTTTGACCTTAGAAGGCAGCAGTGACATCAGTCACGTTCCATAAGTAGCCAAAAACATCCGTTTGAAAAGTTTGTACAAGTTTTCTGTGTCAGAAGGAAATTCAGATGTTACAATCAGGCATTCCAAACCCTGCACAAACCGACTCCAGTCTTCCTTTCCAACACCGTTTCTTACCACCCCTGTAAATACAGCTGATATCACAGACCGTCAGAGCCCCGACATTCCTTAACCCCTTTTACATAGTTCCGACACACATCACACCCAACAATGCATGGTGACCTCAACTATAACCCATCTCTTCTCCCTTAAGTTCCCACCAGTATTCATGGTTCTGCTCAAAGCTGTCTTCATTCACTTGGCCTCTCCACTGCCTAATAAAAGTGAATCTCTCTCTGAGTGCAAAGTAAGAAATCCATGGGAGAGGAAAAAAAAAGGGCTTGTATCAAGAATACAAACAACAGAAATTTATACTAATGATATCAGGGGGCCGGGGATTTAGCTCAGCGGTCGGTGGCCTGCCTTGCAAGCTCAAGGACCCAAGTTCAATCCCCGGTACAAAAAAAAAAGACGTGTACAAAAACATTCATAGCAGCATTCTTTTTTTGTTGTTGTTTTTTTGAGACAGGGTCTCACTATGTAGTTAGTTGAGACTGACCTGGAACTCACTATGTAGCCCAGGCTGGTCTCGAATTCACAGTGATCCTCCTGCCTCAGCCTCCCGAGTGCTGGGATTACAGGCAAGCGCCACCACACCTGGCTAGCATTCTTCTTAACAGCCCCAAGTTTAAACAACCTAGCTGTCCCTCAAATACACTAAATAGAAGACAAAACTTTGTGGGAGAGTCATACAATGAGAAAGAACTAAGTGCCACTTCTCGGAATATCATGGATAAAGCTCATAAAATGTTGAGCAAAGAAACAAAACCCAAATAAAAATATATTCTAAGATTCTAGTCACATAAATTAAAACACAAACATAATCACTGGGAGACGCTGCATATCATGATTTGTGCACTTCTTATGAACCTGTGTCCACCTTCATGAAAACATGTACCCACAAAACTGAACTCCCTTTTCCAGCTGCCTCACTCTAGCACAATTTAAGGGCTTATCTACCCGTTTGCAGTAGTGCCTCTTACACACATCTAGCTCCCCTCACCAGAAATGCTCCTGGTGTAACCCTGAAGTGAACACAGCATCTAGTCTACTCCCTTGGCACCACAGTGAGATGAGTCACCAGCTATTTCCTGATTTCAATGAGCCATCCTGAGAAACAAGTGGAAAGGAAGCTTGTGAAGACTGGACACTGTAGCAAATTCAAACTGCTCAGGAAAGGGCATTTTGACGTCTAAACAACTCTGGAAGAATCAATTTCTTAACCACTGAAAACCCGTCTTTCCCTGAAGTCCTACTGCTCATGTACAATGTCTTTCAGAGCATCTAAGTGAGTTTTCCTCAGACCAGTGTCCACGGGCCTGTGCGGTGGTGCCCAGTATCTAGGCTTCTCTCAAGGTAAGGACCTGAGGAAGGTCACATTTTTTTCTCTTAACAGAAAGCTATTCCATGCACTGAAGTCAGGACATAGCAGTATTGGGTCTCTTCTCATGAGCTGTCAGACATCTGAAAACAATGTCAGAGCGATTGTATCAGCACAGAGATGCCCAGGAGGACAAATGGAGCCTCGAACAAGAACAGAGAATTATGTGTCGGTACTCACCTGGTGTTTAATAGCATCATACAGTAACTGCCGTCCAGAAGCACTATCAAAGTCTCCAACAATCCAAAAGGTTACTGGCCTGATAAAAGAATCATCTACAGGAAATAAAAAGAAACTGAATCAGAGGAAAAAGGAACATCTTATGTTTCAATATTGTTGTTAAGTTACATAATTTCTAAAAAAACATGCCATAAGAAAAGAAAATGACAAGTTTAAAAAGAAAAGAAACATAGTGAAACTTTACTAAAATTAAAACAGGGTAATTTAGTGGCTGATTTATGAACATGCACTGATTAATTCCAGTATGGTCTGGGGATCTATTAGTGTGCAAACTGAAACATGTGAATAACACAGTCCACTCTTCAATCACGTTTACTTGTAAATTTCTGAAATATTTTTCTTCATAAACATTTATACAAACTTTATTTGCACTGATACAGCCTATGATTATCCACAGGTTCCAGAAATATCACAATAAAGAGTCAATAAAGAGAACGGAGAAAGGAGGAGAGAACATTCTGACGTTCTGAGTTACCATAGACTTCCTTGGAGGACATTCCTGGACAAAGGCAAAAGGGAAGAGAGCAGAAGAGAAGAAAATGTCATTTCTGTAGCCAACGCCCCACTGTCAGAGTTCAAAGGTTGAGTGATGACTAACACGAACTACGCTCCTTTCTGCTCCACCACTGTCACAGTGCTCTCCAGGTCTTCTCAGAAATAACTCTTCAAGGGTCCCACAGGGTAATTACATATATATGAACATGCCTGGAAGACAGAGATCCTTCCAGGGAAAGGAAGACAGCAGGGACGGGGACAGCTGCCTTCAGTGGCACTTGGTGCTTGTGGTCATCAGTGTGACCCTTCCAAGGGGAGAAGAATCAGTGCTCAGATGAGAGGGTGTCATCTCACACAATGGTAACTAAATAACTACATTAAAAAACTACATGAAAATTAGTTTAAGAGATTACACATGGCTTCCTAAAACCTAATTATCTCATAAATCCTAAATAAAATTAATCCTATACCATCATTGAAGAGCATATTAAAGTAATTTGCAATCACTAACCCATTTTTTATCATAGTTTATTTTGAATCATAACTTTTCTTAACTTTAATAGCTAATAAAGAACTTATAAAGACAATATTTGAATTTTTAAACATATGTAAATCATTATCTTCTGGACTCAAAGATTGTATTTAAAACACTAAGGAGTTTCCTCTCAAAAGGACATTAAGATTGAACTATGCTTGCCGATCCTGAAAGAGAAAGACTGAATCCAAGACAAGCCCTCATACAGATACCTTTCTTCGTCAGATAGTTCATACTATTGGCTATAGCAGCGGTCTTGCCTTGGGAATCCAAGACAGAAAATCTAGGATAATCATCCACAAAGAAGTTATCTGTGGAAAAAAAATTGAAATAGACGTATAATTAATATATCTGAGTTCAATCTACTGTACAAAAACTCAAGTTCGCAACATGAACCCCCCCGCTAATCCCACTCTAAGACAAAGTTCATGAATGACACACACATGTCACCCAGCTGCCCGTTTAGGAGTAAATGCACCCCACTCTCACTGTCGGAAACGACTTCCCGAGAGCCTTACCTCAGCTCTCGCCTGCCCATCCCCTAGAGCACGCTGCCGTCTAGCCTATGGACCCGGAGGACAAAAGAAAACTGATTTCTACTTTTCATGTCTGAGAAAATAACACTTCCTCAACTTTAATAGAAACAAAAGGCCATTTTTACTACCTTCAAATATGTACTTTTCTGGTTAGTGCCCAAAGGCAGCCCCTCTGTTAATCGTTTTCCCTCAGATCACTCTTGCTAAAATTGTAGTTACATCAAGCTAGTCCCTTGTACTAAAAACTACACAGTAATTTCTTCCTAGCTATAAAATGGTCTCGAGTCTAATATGATAAACCATCTGCCTCTAGCAGTCTCCCTTGTCCCTTTTTTGTGGTGCCGGGAACAAAACCTCAACTCACACATATTGGGTAGACACTCTATCATGGGCTGCATCTCCAGCTTTCTACCCAGTCTGGTGTTTTGTTTTGTTTTTGTTTATTTATCTGTTTATTTATTTTTGTGCTGGGGATCAAACTCAGGACCTTACACTTGCAGGGCAGGTGCGTTGCCATTGGGCTAAATCCCCGGCCCTATTTTTTGCTTTTGAGACAACTTCTACATATAGTTCAGGCTTCCTTGAACCCAGTTTATAGCCCAGGCTAACCTCAAACTCATGCCAATCCTCCAGCCTCAGTCCTGCCAGGGTTACAAACACCCACTGCCACGCCCTGCCCTGTACCCAGTCTTAAGTACTGTCACAGTCTCATACACACACTACTCTTCTCATCACTGATTGCCACGCACATGTGCTGGCCTGCCCACCCATCTCCTAGTCTGTGTGTCCACTAACCTACCCATCCTTTCACTCAACGATGCACAGACTGCTGTCCATGCATCAGACTGTCCATGATATGTACAAAACAGAGGACACTATGGCCTGGAGAGTTATCTATCTGGCTGTGACCTGGATCCTCAAGGCTTATGTGCTAAAGAAATGGCCACCAGCCTGTAGTACTACTGGGAGACAGTGGAACCTTCAGGAGATGGGGCCGGGGAGGAGGAAGTTAGGTCACTAGGGGCATGGCCTTGGCGGGGTATCGAGACCTCGGTCCCTTCGTCTTTTCGCTTTCTGGAAGCCTCCAGGTGAGCAGCACTGTCCCACCACATGCTCCCCACCATAATGCTTTGCCTTGCCACAGGCCCGGACACAACAGAGACAACTCTGAGACCATGAACCAAAGTAATCCATTTCTGCTTTTCAGTTGGTTTCTCAGGTATTTTGTCATACTGATGAAAATCTGACTGCCAAATATCTTACAAGGTTGTGGGGCAGCAAAAACCAGAGAAACCTGGGTGATAGAGCTATTCCCACCTGGTAAGGAGGATACTAGTGCCTTTTCAATGACACCTGCACCAGGTTCAGCTGAGCCTGCGCCTCTGCCACTGTGAACGAGCACTGCTTCAGAGCGCATCACAACACTCAGTGGAAAAGAAGACCCAAAGCATGCAACTGTGCTCTTCACTCGTGGATATTCCACAGGGCCCTTCGAGTTTAATTTAAAATGATGGAAACAAAACTCAGGACAGAGTCATAATACTGTTTCATTTACCCTAGTAAAGCTTCTGGTAAGAAGCTAATGCCTGTCCACAAAAATGCCAGATTGCTTATGGTAGCTGCTTTTTCAAATACCAGCAAATATTTACATTTTCCTGTGCCTGCACGCTGATGTATATATACATAATCACATATTTTTAAAAAGCGGGTATTTACATTTCCTCTGCCTAAAATAAATTCAGTTCCAAGTGAATTATACAGTTCTACAAAGTAACAACCTTAAAAAGATCTACACTCATTCCCCTCAGGTACAACAACAAATACAGTTGGTCATATCTTCATGTACCCTTCCTTCTTCGGTGGGAAGGTCATCACAGGTAAGTGATAAAAGCTCCACCTAATTTCCAAGTGTCTGCTGATCTGGCCTTCAGAGTCTCAATGGGAGGCGTGCAGAACAACCCATACATGGGTTACCTTATCCTAACTTTTAAAAGGCATTTTTGTGGAAAACACCCTAGTGCCACAGGAGGGTTTTAATGGATTTCCTTCTGGTATCAGAGAATGAACACAAGGCCTTTGCCCTGAGCTACATCCCCAGCCATTTTTATTCTTTATTTTAAGCCAGTGTGTTGCTCACTTGCCCAGGCTGGACTGTAACTCAAGATCCTCCTACCTTAGCCTCCCAGAATGCTGGGATTGCATGCTAGGCTTATAATGGAATATTTACAACATTTTTAAAAAACGAAATTGTGTTATGCTAAGAGGATGAACTATAGAAACACGCTAAATGAAAGAGGCCGGATGCAAAAGGCTTCAGTGACATGAAATGTCAAGGAAAGGCAAATTCCTAGATTAAGTAGATTAGCTGTGCCAGATAACAGGAGGGGGAATGGATATACGGGTTCATTCTGGGGTTCTACTATAGATAATGTCCTACTCTTAGATCGTGGTGATGATTCTACAACTCTGAGAATAAACTAAAAACCACTCTATTGTGCACTTCACAAGGCTGAGTTTGGGGTGAGGGATACAGCTCAGTAGTAGAGTACTTGCCTAGCATGCTGGAGGTCCTGGGTTTGATTCTCAGAACTACAAGGGAAAAATAGTCCTTATTTTTATGATATTATATTATATCTCAATGAAATTGCTATTTTTCCTCCTGAAGGCACATTTAAGTTCTCAGAGTAAAATTCACCATCTGCTGACATTTTTGATAATGAATTCTAGAATGAGAATGAAGAAAACCGCTTAATGCTTTATGACTGACTGACCATACAGGTCCCAACAATATAGGCCCACTCTTATATTCTAATGCCTGTGTAGCTGGGCTTTAAATGGAAATGATGAGCTGGGGATTTAGTTCCACCATCTGCCTTGTAAGCGCAAGGACCCGAGTTTGATCCCCGGTACCAAAAAAAAAGGAAATAAATATCTTTCAAAATTTACAAGGTCTAAGCACGAAGACCTTATCCTCTGTAGAAGTAAATTTTTGAGTTTAGAATTAAAATTATGAATTCCAGGTAAATTAATTTAAACATAAAGTTCTGTCACAATCTTGGGTTATCTTCTTCACTTTACAATCTAATAAATGCAAACAATCTAAAGCACAAGTCAAAAAGCTTAAAGTTGTTTCTGAAAGGTTCCTTACTACTTGCTGTTAAATCCAGGTATTCTCGCTCAGCTGTCAAAACCCTAGAATTGATTCGTGGAACAACATTTGGCTGGTTCATGATATACTCTACCACATCTTGATCATGCGACAGTTCACCCTACAGGAAGAAAGAAACAGAGAGGGGTGGGGTGTTAAGTGAATATCATCAATAAAAATTCATTAGAAACTAAAACGTTATTACCTCTGTAATAGCTTCTTATGCAACGACAACAGCTAAAGACAGAAGTTACATGTTACAGGTCCCTGTCATCGCCGAGCACAGCTAGGTGTTCTATGTATAGTATCTCTAACTCTATTACCAACGGAAGGCAAATGTTATTCATTTTAAAGATGGGCATGAAAAGGACAATACAGAAGAGTAAATGTTTTGCTGCTGTTGCTGTTGTTTTCTTTTTGATACTGGGGATTGAACTCAGGACCTTGTGCTTACAAGGCACCACTGAGCTAAAACCCTGTCCCTGTCAGGGGTAAATATTAGTATCTGGAAATTTCCAAATTGACCATAATTAAAATATTTAATATAAGTGTATTTTAATGTGAAAGCTAAGATTCAAACAAATACATTCAAACCTAAAATATTCCAATTAGACATTGTTTGCAACTATATAGTCCAAAAGATAAGCAAATTCTCAAATGGTAAACTAATAATGACCATATGAACCGGCCACACATCTCAAAAGACACACAAATGCACACACAGAGTAGTTGTTTCTAGGAAGAAAACATAACTGGTGAAGGCAGAAGTGAATGGATGAAAGTTTCTCCTTCATATTTCTTTATACATTTTAAATTACATATCATCTACCTAACATACGATTTGATAGAGTCAAAATTTAGGTCAAAATTCAAAATGTGCCTTACCCTCTGACACCACAATTATAATTCCTGTTATTTCTCAAAACATGCATGAAGATATACATAATTAGAATACTCATTGTGTACATGAAAATACACAGACCTACCTCTTTAGGATTTCAGGAAACAAATAACTTTTATCCATTAAAAAATATATATGTATATGAACATACAATATTATTGTCAGAATATTTAAAATAAAATTTTTGTTATCTAGCCGGAACCAAGCTTCTCCCCGGCCATACGTGTAGAAGGAAAGGAAAACTAACATTCATTCACAGAGGGGCCAATATTTTTAAATGGTTACTCTTATAAACAACAGACATGTTAGTATCTAAAAAACAGAAAACAAAAGCTATGCTGATGGCGTGGGGTGCACTGGGAGTGGAGAGATTTTAAATTTCTAAGGAGACCAGTAAGTATTTTAATTTTTTTATATCACTTAAATACAACAAAATTCTCCTAGTTTGTTCATGTTCAAATAAAAACTTTGTTCTTATTACAGTAGCTCCATAAAGAACAGATTTCTTAAAAATGGAAACAAAGTCTTTGTAAATAGGGGAGGGGAGGAGGGGGTGAAGGGAGGGCAGGGTTATGGGGAAAAATGAGAACCAAGACCTGTCATGTAAAGGTACAAGATCCCAATGATGAATGTAACTGTACTGTGTACTTAAAAAGTACCAATAAATTCAACGAAAAAAAAAGAAAAGAACAGATTCCTTAACACAAGGGGACATACAATGGAATTCGACCAAGGAATTTTTTTTCTATGAATGCATTAATACACAGCACAAGATTTCCCTTCTTTAAAAAAATTTATTTCTGCCCTTTTTTCACAAATGATGTTGGAAAAACTCTGTATCCACAGGTAAAGGAAGGAAACTGGCACCTAACCTTACACAAAAATTAACTCAGAATGGATCAAAGCCCTAAACAGGTAGAACTACAAAGCTCTTAAAAAACACTGGAGAAAATCTTCATGACAATGGGTTTAGTAATTTCTTAGGTAAAACACCGAAAGCCCAAAGAACAAAAGAAAAAATAAATTGGACTTCATCAAATTGCAACTTTTGTGCACCAATATATAATATCAGAGAGAGAAGAGAACCCACAGAATGAAACACAATGTTTGCAAATCATATTTGTGATAAGGTATTTATATCCAAAAGTTAAAAACTCCTACAACTCAACTAGACTTAAAAAAATTCAATTCAATGTAAGAACTCTCCATGATGAATGTAACTATTATGTTCTGCAAACATGTACTAATAAAAGATATATACTCCATATAAAATTATGTATTATTTACAAATTAATGCAATATAAAATACATGAACTATACTCATTAAAAAAAATGGGCAAAGACCTGAATAGACATTTTTCCAAAGAAGAAATATAAGTGGACAAGAAGTATATGAAAAGATGCTCAAGATCACTAGTCACAAGGAGAATAAAAATAAAGTCACAATGAAAGACCATTTTATTGTAGGTAGGTAAGTTAATTAGATATCTTGTAGGCAGTTAGACAGAGCCACCCTCAAGGAGCCAACACAGTGAAGAGCCAACCTGGAGAACAACTGAGGCACATTCACTGGTTAGCACATAAAAAGAAGGGTACTACTTCATGATTGATATTCTAAAGGGGAAATTCCTTGTATATGGCTTGTCTTCCCATTGATCCCCATTTAATCAATATTACCTCGGTGACTGTACTTGTAATCTTGTTGGTTGGTCATGGCTTTGTCCCACCTCATGCTCACCTTGTAAATGTCCACTGGGTCTTATAGTTTTGTCCCACTTTGTACCCACTGCATACATGGCTTTGCTGTATAAAACATCGTTGAAAAGTGGGGTGGGTGGGCAACCCACTTTCCTGTCAGTCTTAGACAGAAGCTCTCTTTTGATCAATAAAATTTTCCTTCTCTTAACCTCTGTTGGTTCTAGAATTCATTCTTTGATTTTAGAGAACCCGAACTCACGTTTAGGACACCTAGTAGATTTGGGAATTACATCTTTTCCCCCTATATAAATTTCACATCCATTAGAATGCCTAGAGTATTAGCAAGGATGTGAAGAAACTAGAACATCTATACATCTATGTATTTCTGGTGGGAATGTACAGTGGTGCAATTCTGTGGAAAATAGTTTGGCGGTTTCTCCAAACAGTAAACATAATATTACCATATGATCCAGCAATTTCACTTATAGGTATATGGCCAGGATTGAAAGCAGAATAGGAACAGATATTTGTACTATATCAATAGCAAGATTATTCAAAATAATCAAAAGATAGAAGGAATATTTTTGGACCTTAAAACATGAAATTTTGATATATGCCACAATATAGATAAGCCAGACATGAACAAATATTGTATGAATCCACTCTTAAGAGGTAAATTCACAGAGAAAGGAAGTAGAATAGTAGTAACCAGTGGCTGGGGAAGGGGAGACAATAGGGACTTAGGGTTCAATGGGTGTCTGGAACAATGAAAAAGTTCTTGAGGGCAACAGTGGTAATGATTGTATAGAATTGGAACTGTACTAAATGCCACTGAATCATATACTTAAAATGGTAAGCTTTATGTTCTGTATTATTTTTATTTATTTTGGGTTTGTTTTTTGTTTTGCTGGTCTCGAACTCATAGCGATCCTCCTGCCTCAGTCTCCCAAGTGCTGGGATTACAGGCCTGCGCCACCACACTCAGCCTCAATGTTCTGTATCTTTTTAATACCATAAAACATTTAAAAATATATATTTTGCCTTAGGTTATTATCAGTGTTACCGTATATTTAAAACTATACTTGAGAATGCTACTCAGCAGAAATGACAGAATAAAGATCTCTGAAAAGCCTCTCTTCCAAAGAAAGTCTTAGAACACTAAAAATAAACAGTCAAAATCAACTTTCCCGGGCTGAGGATTTAGCTCGGTGGTGCCGGCGCAAGGTCCCCAGTTCAATCCCCAGTACTAAAACAAAAACCAAGTATCAAATCAAAATCAACTTTCCCAAAACTCAAGAAATTAACTAAAGGTTTGCAAAATTCTGAGGGGCTTTAATTTATTAAAAGACTAAACATCATCACAAAATGGTCTTTCTAACATTTTAATTTGCCCTACTTCTATTTACCTCTACCCAGCTGACAGAAGCCTCAAATATCAACAGCCCAACAAGAAAAGTTAAGACTAGCAAAGCAGGACAATTCCCAGGGGTGGTTCTTATTTGCACTAAAGCAGATCTTAGTGTCAACACCAGGGATATTTCACAAAAACAATCAGGAGCAATTGTTTAACATCTGAGCTGCCTGAGGTAGTGATTTAATAGAGTAACATGAAGTTGCAAAAACACTATATATATTATAGAATATATATATATTACATATTTGATAAAAAAAGAAAAGTATGTGCACAGAAAAGAAGTAGTAAGAAAGCCTGAACACTGGAATTAATACACAAATAATTTAAATAAGCTATGTTAAATATACTCAAAGAACGAAAAGAAACCACTGAAGTAAGCAAGTTAACCAGAAACTCCCCCCAATAGCCTGTGCCTGGACTTTACCTCTTCGTTCGTTCAGAGTGACCAGCTAACCAGCACATAGCTTACCTTGTGGTTGAGATCAAAGGACAGGACATGTTATACTGTGGCCCTAACCATAAGGGTAGGAATTTCCTGACGGATCCCAAAAATTGGATTTTAATCTAACTTGCAATCTGCTTCTGTACCCGTCTTGGCTCACAGATGAGATCACAACATTCTCTTGTGTGGTTTTTCCCTTTAAAAACTGGGACTCCCGACATTTAATTGGTCCCAAGGAAGATGGGAGGAGCATGAGCTCGTTCTTGGTCGCAGGCTATAAAACTCTTTCAATCTGTCCATTTTTCGTGGCGTGATTTTTTTCTCTGAGACAGCTATAACACTACATCTATCAAGATAAAAGTTTGAGATGAGCTAAACATGTAATCACTGGCAAGCTGGGGATGTAGCTTAGTAGTAGAGTACTTGTCTTGCATGACCAATTCTTGGTTTCAATTCCCAGAGCCACAAAACAAGCTCTATGCATGTGTGTATCTCTATGAATAAAATATTTACTAGAGGGGTGCAGTAGCAGATCTTAGTTGACAGAAGAAAAGAACTCAAAAACTCAAGAATTGAAAAATAGCTCAAGTAAGATTATCAATCTGAAAAACACAAAAATTCCTATGGAACACAAAAGAGGAGTGGTGGGGAGCTATGGCACGTACATTATTTGTTTTTCTTTTAAGACAAAAGATGTTAATGTATGAGTTGTTTTTTTCTAAGCTAAAACCTCAGTATTCAGGTTTAACTGCAGTATTGGCACTTTGAGATAAATAAGTGGGTTTTGTGTCACAGTCTGGGCACTCGTCTCTAAAAAGCTCACCATCACTGCAATAGAGTATTAACATATGCATATCTCAGGGAGTTATATGTAGATCCACCATGTAGCAATAATTAGGATGGCTCTTATCCATACCTCATGCGAGGTAACTTCATGATCCAGTGAGGTCTCTGCTATTCACAGTGCACCCCTCAGATCACACCTAACGATTCACACTATAACGTGATGGAGGGTGGACTCCAGTGCATGCTAACAAGATGAGTCAGATCTGACAACTAAATGATTAGAGGGTTAGGGCTTCGAGCAGCATGGTAGAGTGGCATACAGAAAAAAGTGATGGTTAAGAAATTTTATTACCTACTACAGAAGCTACAAAAATGTAAGCAAACTGTACTCTCTAAAGTCAGCCTTGAAGTGTCACGCACCAGGTACACTGCTCTTTGGAAGAAGGTAGTAGTCTCCAGGATTTTGTGCATTGTAATGGTTTCCAACTCATCAGGATCTAGCTGTTCCTTCTCAAAGGGCATCCCGTTAAACAGAACAACAGGCAGCGGACCAATGCCAGTCTGCTCATAGTAGCCTCTTGCTTCCTAGAAAACAACAGACCACAAAACAGCACATTTTTGTCCCTAATAGCACAAATGGAACAAAGAATATTTTTCTTAAGTGCCTGTACTAAGAATAAAAAAAATCATGACAATATGGTAAAGAAATAACTAATGATATTTCTAAAAACAGTGCCATCACAGTTAATATTCTACTGAATAAAATGAATTATTGAAGTGTTTTTGGAAAAACCACAAAAACTTTGCAAATTAGGAAGTATGTGTACACGTGAGTATATGCGAGCTGTCCAGCTTGCCAAAACTGAACTACACGTATGAACATGTGGCAACTGTGCATTTAAAATCTAGCTACTGTGACTAAGTAACTAAATTTCAAATGCAGTCAATTTTAGTTAGTTTCCAATTAAATAACCACATGGCTAGGGGCTACCACAATAAGCATCCCAGCTAATCTGCTACAATAAATTAACAGAGCTCCTGGGCAGAATGGCCTGAAATGAAATTATTTACAGCAATTCTAAATAAGTGTGGGGCTGGATGTAGTGGCACATGCCCATAAATCCCAGCATTTGGGAGGATCACCATCAGTTCAAGGCTAGCCGGAACCATGGCAAGATTCTGTCAATACATACGTATGTACATACATACGTACATGTATGTCCACTATCAAATAAGCTGTACCCATAGAAAACAAAACAAAGTTTGTGGAAAAACTGCTCAAAAGTGCTTTAAGATACATGAAGCCCAATGTTTTTCCTTCTCCAGGATAAAAGGAGCTTTTGCAGGAAAAGGACAGGGCAACAAAATGGCAAATGTATCTGAGACAGATACTTTCCCTGAATGTCAACAAGGATACTGTATCCTGAGACTAAGATTCCACAGTAAAAGAAATAACCACAGTTACTTTAATTCTTATTCAACACCATGCAATTGATCCTTTCTGAAAACTGCAGAATTACTCCTAACTTTTTATAGACAGCACAAGTAGAATAGGACTTCTACTGGGAAAGTGATACCAGTCATCAGGAACAGACCGCGTAGTCTCTCCTCAGATCTAGCGGCTACAAGACATATGTGATTCATGGGCAGAGCCCCAGGAAAGGCCAACAACGCTGCTTTCAGCCATCTCTCTGTATCTTCAAGATGCTTTAATTTACACTCCCTAAACTTTTATTTACCATGTTAATTCCATTTTAAAATCTTACCTGTATCATAGAGTCCTTAAAACAGTTTTAATATAATCTAAGCTTTGAAAAACCATCTCCCTCACCCAATAAAAATATACGATGGGAAGTGTTGCCAGAACTCCAGAGGCTGAAGCAAGAGGACTGCTTGAGCCCACAAGTTTGAGACTAGCCTGGACAACACATAATGAGACTGCACCTAAAACAAAAAACAAAAATACCCTCACATTATAAAGCTAATTAATAAAAATAAGCAACATTGGTTTTCTCTGAAAATGGCTATTGAGTGAAAGTCAGGAGCAAGGGAGAGGTATTTTAACTAAATGTTTCCTTTTCATCACTTGCAAATAGTTTAGAAAAGACTAAGAATGCAACCTAATTATAAGAATGAAGCAGAAAAACTGCAAATGAAATTTTCTATCAACAAATCACTGAAAATGTTAAATAATAATAAATTATTAAACACTGATTACAGGCAAAGTCTTGTAATGACTTTGTCATTCACAAATAACAAATGAGATTAACAAGGATGCAGAGTTAACATGCCAGATTTAAAAAATATTTGCATGTGCAAGTTAGAACATTTCCTAATGGCTTTGAAAGATATATGTACCCCTAATCAACATAAATTCTCTTCACTTTAAAAGTTTTACTTGCAGTATATTTTCTACTTTTAAAAACAATTGCTTATTTCAACAGAGATATAACTTCAGATTTATTCATAAAAGGATTATAAGTACAATGATGTTTGCTAAAAACAGTCTTTTTTCTAAAAATAAACATTTTAAGGGAATCCATTTTACTGAACTTTACTGTGTGGGGTAAACTTCTACAGCTTAAAAATTGTCAGTCACCAGATTCTTAGACCTCTCAGATCCTCCTCATATCACTGCCTTGACAGTATTTCACTCAAATAGCAAGGAAACTAAATGGCTTAAATATAAATAGTATGATTTATTCTTTAGGGATAGGCCTCCAGTTAGTACAGAAGAAGAAAATGCTAAGTCTGGGAAGCTACTGAAGAGCTCAGTCTGTGATAGTCCCATCTGATTCTTCAGCAGAATCGAGATTTCCATAATGTACACATGTAGAAAGACACTGTTCCCCAACTTGCACTGTATTCAGTATTTTTCAGAAAAATAGCGTGTGGAACTGGGGGATTTAGCTCAGTGGTTCCACCGTCTGCCTCGCAAGCTCAAGTTCCAGAGTTCTATCCCTGGTAACAAAAATTTTAAAAAATAATGTGTGTGTGCGTGTGTGTGTGTGTGTGTGTGTGTGTGTGTGTGTGTAAGAGTGAGAAACACTAGGGACTGAACCTAGAGCCTCATGTACTCTACCACTGTACATTTGCAGACCCAAAGCAAATATGTTTAATATAGCAATTATCCACAGTAAAAAAGCTCTCTATACTTTTTCTTCAAAAGAATAAGAGAAAATGTGTTAAGCATTTCCCAAGGGTGAAATAAGAGAAAATTCCATTCATTCTCTGAAATCTTATTCTCAAAGTAATTCTATATATTTGCAAATGTTAAGTACTGAACATTTTACCACCCACCACCACCGTTACTGAATTAACAACAACAACAAAGCCCAAAGAGGAAGGGCAGCATAATGCTGCAGCCAAATATAAATATCAAAGAATTTTTTACCTTCCGATTCTGATCATAAGCAGAATCAATCCCCAAAATGCTATTCACTTCTAAATATGGATATTTCTTCTCCAGGACACTGACCACATGTTCAACTTTGACTTTGTCTCCAGTTTTCACCTTGTTATAGATCTGAAGAAAGAAAATCGATAACCAACTACACTTTAAAAACCAAATTCTAAATATTCATTATGAAAAGTTTCTGAATTAGCAATGGTCCTTTTTCCAAATCTCATTAAGATACTTCTTAAATTATAAATCAAATATTCTTAAAACCATCCTAGAAAAAGAATTAAGATGTGTTATGTGCATGTACCAACTCTCCACAAGACTGTAAAAGTTATGTACTACAAACATGTATAATAAACAATAAGATGACCTAATCAGTTCACAACCATAGTTAAATCACAAACACAAAATGCATTAAGAAAAATCTAAATATTGAAAAGTAATCACTGAAGAATGCATGTCTATGATGTTTAGGGTGAAAAAAGTTACACAATCTTTATTTGTAACAAATCAAAAACAAATAATAAAACTGTGCCCACATATGTACAGATCAGCCTCTAGAAGGTTGCAAGACAATCCATTCATGACGCCCACCTTTAAGGAGAATTGGGAAAGGAAGAGAAGGCAGAGAAAGTTACTATTATTTAAACTTTCTACAGTGAGCACTTTTGCAACAAAAAGAAAATATCTGTATCATCTTATCCTTCACACACAAGTCTAGGCCAGGGAACCAGCTGTAAAGAGCATCCTTTATTTACTTGTGATGTTGAGTAACTTCTTTTGGACCTATTTCATTCTCCACAGTCTTGCTAACTTTCTCATTGTTTTTCATGGAGGCGACTACAGCAGCTCATTAACCGGACTCACAGCCACTCTACCCTTCATCAGGTCCATCTCCGCGCACTGCACAGAATGAGCCTGCACACTGGCTGACCAGCCTCCGGCAGCCTCCAGGACTAGCTTCCACTGCCGCTCCGCTCCCACCTCCCCTCCCTAGTGTCCACCACATTAGCAACATGCCAGTCTGACTGGCAGCCTTTGGAAGTGACCTCCACTTTCCTCCTGTACTACGCTGCACAACTCCATACTCCACAGAAAGGCCCACAGCCATGCTCAGGTGAAATGGAGGTCTTGTGCCACAAGGCCAGCTGTGTTCTCTCCCACGCTGCATGGTGACACTAGGAACATATGCCCTGTGAGGCTGCAAGGTCTCAGAGGATGGGGTGAAGCCTTACGACTGCTTTATCTCCCACAGCTAAGACCAGGCCCGGCCCAAGGTGGGCCTTTGATAAATGTTCACCAGAAAAATAAAGAAACAGTCTAACCAACAAAAGATGCCCCAAACAAATCTCTAAACAGTAAGTAGAACAGAAATGATAAACCACAGACTAACATCAATCATCTTTTGGACAATGTGGCAAAATAGATTATACATTTTTTTAAAGATACTACTAATCTGGGCCAGGGATTTAGCTCAGAGGCACCATGCCTGCCTCACAAGTGCAAGGTCCTGAGTTTAATGCCCAGTAACAGAAAAAAGAATTTTTTAAATAAAGTTATTAATCTGAAAAAAAAAAAAAGAACTGATACAGGTAAAGTTGTCTAGACTCAAACATATCAAAAAAGGAAAAGAAAATAAAGAGAACTCTCTGAACTTGAGCAAGTAAATGCCTTAAATGTATGCAAATGAGGCATTTCAGAGTTTCCAGTTAAAGAAATCAGAACATTAGTCACTAAAAATTTATGATGAATATTAAACTATGGTCTAATTCCTAAGGAACCTTATCTTAGCTGAAATCACAAGTCTATTTTTGTTTTGTTTTGGTGATAACAGGAATTGAACTCAGAGCCTCCCGCTTGCCAGGCAGGTGCTGTGCCGCTGAGCTACATCCCCAACCCAGAGCAGTCTATCATTAATGTCAATGAATTGATAAAGTACAGATAACCTGTAAAATCCAAACTATAATGAGTTTACATGAATGTTTTTTTCTCTACAGAAATACAGAAGCCTTTTACCATATATTCTGTTTTAGATTAACTATTTTTTAAAAATTGCCATTTTGAATAAAAAACATACACGGTTCAGAGTTTGGAAGGCATGATACTCATCCATATCCTGGACCACGTAATTATATGCTCTGAGAACAGCCACTCCAGCGTCCTGCATGCCATCAACATCTTCAGAGTCATTAACGACAAAGATAAAACCAATTCTGGAGAGAGAGCAGAAAGAAGACAAAGAAACATCTCAAAGAGTGCAGCCAGCTAAAGAAAATGGCATTCTTATATACACCCCTATGACTGTAGCTAAAGACAGAAACTCATCCCTAAGTGCAAAGAGCACATCACATCCATTCAAACATGGTTGCACGAGTATACACGTGTCACTTATAAAATGAAAGAGCAGATTCTCAATGTGGCTGAGGCTTCTCAATGGTTGAAATATCCTATTTCCATGTCATGAAAAGATTCCTTTGTTGACATGAAAGACATCCTTGTAGGTTTTAGGTATAAATTTTGTTCTGCTTTTAAATAAATATTAAAGGAAATTAAAATATTCAGACTTTAAAATAAACAGAAAAGGAATTGTGAGACTTAACATCAGCAATAAGAATTATAGGTAACAGGAAAGCAGAAAAAATAATTGGCCTACAGCAAAGAGCCATAGAAAGGGGTAAACTTCATTCAATTTTAAACTTTAAAATAAAGAAATAAACCACAAAAAATGCCATTATACATCTATAGATGGGTTGGCAAAAAGACTTGCACTGGACAATATGGAGGACCTTTAGCTCCTGGCCTCTTATTGAAGCAAAACACTCCAGTGGAAAAAGGATGGCCTTTTCAACAAACAGTGCTGGAGCAACTAGATATCTACACGCAAAAAAACGATTCTACATAGACTGTACACCTTCCTTAAAAACTAACTCTAATGAATCATAAACTTAATTGTAATATACCAAACTATAAAACTCCTAGGGTTCAACAGAAAAGATGATAATCTTGGGTTTGGCAATGACATGTCAAATCCAAAGCCAGGGTCTATGAAAGAAGTGATTTGTAAGTTGGACTTTAGTAACATTAAAAATTTCTACTCTGCAAAAACACACTATGAGAAGGAAAAGCCACAGACTGGCAGAAAATCTTTGCAAAACACTCATCTTATAAGGGACTGGCATCTAAACCATAAACACTTAAAAACCTGACATTAAGGAAACAACCAAATTTTACTATAGGCAAAAGATCTGATTGAGCACATCACCAAATAAAACATACATATGTCAAATGAGCATATAAAAAGATGCTGAACATCCCACATCATTACAGAATTATAAATTAAAACAACAATGATATCTCAGTACACATCTGTTAGAATGGCCAGATACCAAAACACTGGCAACATCAAATGCTGCTGAGGATGTGCACGCGACAGAAACTCTCTTCCACTGGTAGTGGAGAAGCAGTGGCCCGGCCCCTTTAAAAGACAGTATGCTTTCCTCACAAGGCTAAGCATTAGCTATCACATATTACCAGCAGTCTGGTTCCTTGGTATATACCCAGCAGCCCTGAAAATTTTACATCCACACAAAAGCCTGCACACATATGTTTAAGAAGCTTTATTCATAAATGCTCAAATTTGGAAGCAACCAGATGTCTTTCAACAGGCAAATGGATAAACTATGGTACATCTCTATAATGGAATATTACTCAGTAATAAAGAGAAATTAGGCTATCAATCCAGAAAAAGACATGGAGAAACCCTAAATGCACACTGCTAAGTAAAAGAATTCAGTCTGAAAAAGCTACGTATTGTATGACTGCAACTGTATGACATTCTGGAACTATAAAGACAGTTTTTAAAAAATCAATAGTTGCCATGGGCTCGGGGCTAATGGAGGAGGGACAAACAAGTAGGTTACAGGGGACTTCTGAGGACGGAGGACCTAACCTGTAAGATACCGTAAGGTAGATATTTGACTTTGTACATCTGTCAAAACCCACAGCACGTGCAACACCATCAGTGCACTATGGAGCTTACTCAGTAATCATGTAACAACACAAGTGAATCAAACAGCTCTCAAAACAGAAACACATATATTAACCATCACACTGTTAATACTGTTTCATTCTGGTGAGGCATGCACCTATGTGGATGGAGGTGAAGTGAGAATTTATATTTGAGTGAAAACTGTCTTTGTTTTTTAAAATCCCATTTGTGACAACAATCACGAGTAGAAAAAGAAGTCTAAATATTCTCATGGGGGATCACCTAATTAAACCATCAGAACAATATTACCTGCTCACAAACTAATCCGTCCACCCCAGGTTTCCAATTTCTAGAAAGCGCATCTGTTTTCCAATGGCTAAGACAGAAAGTTCAGGCGTCCGTGTCTCCCAGGCCTCTCTGCCTAATACCACTGTGGGCTTCCTCAGACTGGGCCTCCTCTCCACAACCCTGCCACAGCCATGCACATCAAGCTGCAGACCAGGCCCGGCCCCAGCTGCTCACAGTGCACCTCTCTGTGGCTGAGGGCTCCAGTGCAATCTAAGACCACACACACTCTTCCTGTCCCTCAGTACCAATTAATAAAAATTTCATTTTTACCCACTCTTAACCATGAGTTGACTTTTGCACTCTTAGATTTCTCCTTTCATCAGAATACAGCTCTGAATATAGCTCAGTAATTTATTCCTCCACCTGGTTAGATGACATTCATCCTTTGTAAAAAAAATTTCACTAAACTCACAATTTCTGCTTTTTCAGCATCAATACCCTCCATTGTATTCAAAGCCTCACTGAACTCCAACTTCATGAAAGCTGTGCTCCCCAAACATCTCAGTTTACAGTTGTGGAGTTGGGGGGGTGTTTTTTGTTGTTGTTTGTTTTGAAATAGGGTCTCACTGTGTAGCTCAGGCTGGCCTTAAACTCACTTGTAGCCCATGCTGACTTCTAACCCACAGTGATCCACCTGCTTCAGCCTCCCAAGTGCTGGGATAAGAGGTGTGTACCACCATGCCCAATCCTCCCAGTTTATAGTTTATCTCACTGAATTCTAAAGCACTTATAGTTAGTCGGACATAATCAACACTTGGTCACACATCACTTTTTCCTCCAGTATTAGAGACTGAACCCAGGGCCTTCACAGTAAGCTACATCTCCAGCCTTTTTAATTTTTAAAAATTTTGAGACACAGTCCAGCTAAGTTGCAAAGTTGCACAGGATAGGCTCACACTTTTGACCCTCCTGCCTCAGCCTCCTAATGAAACACTTCCTTAAAGTGTTCTAAAGTATGCAGAAGACTTCTTCCAGCAAGGTAGGAATATAGTTTATATAACATCCCTAGTAATTGGCTAGTAGTGGATATGGAACACACAGTAACATTTGTTGGCTAAAGAGCTCTTTTTCTTCTTAATTTCTAAAAATTCCAAACTCATCGATGTAAAATTATCAGAATTATCTAAGAATGTAAGTGAAAGTATCTTAACACTTACATGTAAAACCTTAAGAAAACTGTCACTGAAAGAATAGTGGACCCATACTACTCAGCCATAAAGAACGAGAAACTAGAGACATTTATAGCTAAATGGATGCACACTGAGGCCATACTCTTAAGTAAATTAAACAGGACACACGTGTGTAAATACCAAATAGTTTCTCTGGTTGTTAAAAACTAAAAGTGCAAATAAGGTTCAAATTGTATGACTGATAATGTGAAGTAGGAAGAAAATGTCTAAAGGAGTAGGGGAAGTGAGAAGGGTAGGGGAAAGGAAATAAAAGAAAAAATACGAGAAAAGGAAAAAATGGAAACAAAGTCGTTGTAAATAGGGGAGGAAGGAGGGGGTAAAGGGAGGGCAGGGGTAGTGGGAAAAAATAAGATCCAAAATATATCACGTAAAGATACCAGATCTCAATGATGAATGTCACTGTACTGTATACCTAAAAAGTACCAATAAACTTAAAAAAAAAAGAATAGTGGACCCAATGAATTAGTGTCCTCTTACTAGACTTGAAAACGGAACTGAAATAAATGTAACACTGTGTGAATCTAGTCCCCAACAGTCTAACGACACCTCCTGACAAAGCTACATATCGCTGCCCAAATTGGAAATAGGCTTTGTGATGTGGACACTTACCTAGGAAAATTCTCACCCGCTGAGATGCAAGTTACAATCACGAACTACTTTTACACAGGCTGTTTATTAATAATTCAGTGGTGGTAAGCCTCTACCCATGGAGAATAAACTCCCAGTCTCAAAAGACTGGCTTTGTACCAAGCAGAAGATAAAACTGCCATTAATGATCCCCATTGTTAATTATCCTGCAATTCATTAGCACCAGATTTGTACTGGAGATTAACAAACGAAACCTCATCTGGGGCCAGGGATTTAGCTCAGTGGCGCCTCCACTCGCAAGCACGAGGTCCCAAATTTAATCTCCGTACCAAAAAGTAAATAAATAAAAAATTAGCTGTATCATCGAATCAGCACCAGTGTTACCTTAGAGGTATATGATTACTGAGGAACATCTCAGCTGTGCTAATCAACTCTGCTGTGTTCTCACGCGCAGGATCAACTACGAACACCTAAGGGAAGAAAGGGAAAGAACCCATGAAATGGTATTTAATCAGATATCCCTGGGCCAAAAGAAAACTCCAGGAAGCACTGTACATGAATCCAACATTTTTCTATCTTAAAACACATAAAAGAGGAGTTACACAAACAGCAGCCGTCTCCCTCTATGTTCAAAAAATGTGTTACCAGAGGGCAAAGTGATTTTTCTCTTGGACTTAGGCTGGTAATATGGGAACAGCATTACAGATTCCTGACGCCTATTCTTCTACTACACCAAACAAAAAACCCTTTTCTCCATTCACCGACCTTCGAAAATGAAGACTGCCTTACTGTCTTTTCACATTTTCAGTTGTGAGCACCCCTGTACCAACAGGGAGCATGTTACAGGTAGAAATAATCAGGGGAAGTGGCTACTAAAGGAGAGAAGTGCACACATACACAGAGAGAGCAAGAGAGAAGCAAGGTCCGCAGGCAAGCAGCGAGGAGGAGTCACTCACCATGTTGTGCAAGTTCTTCCTGACCTGCCTGATGACACCGGGAAAGGTGGGCCGCAGCAACTCCTGCAGACTGGAAGGCCAAGAGTTGTATCTGCTATCCACTTCCAGGTTGTTGACCCACTGAGAAGAGAGAACACAGCTTGGTGCGTGCACCTTCGTCACCCTCACTGACATCTGTGACAAAAGCAGTGAGAGCAGATCCTCTTACAAGGGGTCAAGGGCCACTTTCAAAGGTACAGAGACTGAGTAGAAAAATGAGGGACTACAACACAAACCACAGAGTAAGTGATGTCATGTGCAGCCACACAAAGCCAACAAAAAGTTACTGTCATGGGCCTGGGATGTAGCTCAGTGGTTCTGTTTCCTGCCTCACAAGCACAAGGTCCTAAGTTTGATCCCCAGTACCAAAAAAAGAAAAAGTTACTTCCAGAAAATATCAATAAATGAGATAAAATTATTATTTAGAATGCATGGTTTTTAATCAATTTATGCTAACAATCTAATGCCATATTTACGTTGTTGCCCATACTCTTTATAAGTAAAACCATTTGCAACAGGAAAATGAAAAACTTAACAGTGCTCATCAAAATATGCAGTGAGAACTCCAGTAATGACCGCCTACATTCTACATTATTTCTCAATAAAACCCTAGGTACCTAGGGTTTGCTAGCCACATCAGTTCTGCCCTGGTGACCACCCACAATGGCACTATACCAACATTCTGTTTTATAGATGAACCACATTCAAAATGAATTATGTAGAAGTTAGAACTCTTCAAAAAAAAAAACAAAAACAAAAACAAAAAACGCCAGGCAGGGCGGCACACACCTGTGATCCCAGCTCTCCCGAGGCTGAGGCAGGAGGACTGCTGTGAGTTTGAGACCAGCCTGGGTTACACAGTAAGTTCCAGGGCAGTCTCAGTCTCAACTACATAGTGAGACCCTGTCTCAAAAAAGCAAAACCAAAAACAAAAACTCAGAGATTATACAGCAGGTAATTAACTAAAGTCCTATTATTAAAAAAGGTTATTAACTAAAAATTATTTTTAATAGCATGTTTGAATCACAAATGCCATAAAATCATCGAAGACCTGCATGCAACTAGGAAAACACTAAATACTCTTTCCTAAGAGGTACTCAGCTGAGTCCTACAGCAAAGGAAAAACCATTGTCTTAACCTTAACAGCCAAACAACTCAACTTTGTGGAGCATTTAGGGCACTACTTTATTAATTACTCACGGCCCCACATAAGCAGTTATGAATCACTGATGGCAAGGAAAGAGATGGTGGAGATAACTCTCATAGAGACGAACGAGAGAGCTACAATAAAGACAGACGTGTGGAGTGCATCCCCCGCCCCCGGCAATACTCACGGAAATAGCTGGACTCCTGATGTCAATGGCATATCCAGCCTCAGAGGGCTGGGTGTTCAGCTTCAAAATATTATGCAGAGAAAGGCCTTCTATTCTGAGTCTATGAAGACCCTCCATGACCCGGGCTTCATTCCTCAATACATCCAACAGACTGGAGGAAAAACAGTAACATATAAACAGTAGAAAAAAAAACTTTTAAAAAATTCCTTGCCATGAAAAACACTACTAATTCAAACTCAATGCTAATTCAGCCCAAGAAAGCAAAAAAGGAAGTGTTCTTTCATCTTATCAAGGTACACAAGACAGAGGACATGCTTCTGGCTCTTCTTTATTTATTTATACTTTTCAGTTACAGATAGGGAGGGGCAGGTAAGGGAAGGGGAGGAGGGAGGGAGGGAGGGAAGAAATACACAGATTAATTGTGCTCTTTTTAAAAGCATGAAGTGTAGGCTCAGTGGTGCCACAGCTGCCTGGCAAGTGCAAGGTCCTGAGTTTGATCCCCAGTTCCACCAAAAAGAAAAAAAGAAAAAAGAAAAGCATGAAAATAAAGTGTAAATTTATTCCCTCCCCCCGTTCCTCCCCCGCCCCTGCAGTACTGAGGATTGAACCCAAGGCCTTCATACTGAGCTACATCCCTATCCCTTTTTTTTTTTTTTTTTTTGAGACAGGGTCTAAATTGTTAAATTCCCAGGCTGGGCTCAAATTTAAGATCCTCCTGCTTCAGCCCTCCAGAATGATGAGATTGTGAGCCTACAGGCATGCTCCACCACGGCAGCATTTCTTACAACTGTATATGAATCTCTAATTATCTCAAAATAAAGTCTAAAAACACACACACAAAAACTACTTTATTATTTCTGTTTAATGTACGCTTCAATATCAGCATCAACTGGCAGAGGCCCACAGAGAGAAAAGTATGAGAAGATGGCTGAGGAGGCAAAAAAGAAAAGGAGAAGGGCACCTCTATGATGCAATAAATGAGCATAAGACCTTAACAGAAACAATGCGTGTTATCTCATTAGCAAAAGCTTTTGTTCTTTTTTGGGGGGTACTGGGGATCAAACTTGGGACCTTGTGCTTGCAAGGCAGGCGGTGGAACCACTGAGCTCAATCCTGGCCCCAAAAGCTCTTGTTCCTATTACTGTGAAGCCACAGTATCAATAGTACTGATTTTAAATACATAGATAAAATCTGAATTCTCAGTCAGGCGAACTGGTGCACATCTGTAATCTCAGCACTTGGGAGGGTGAAGCAGGATGCTCATGGAGAGTTCAAGGCCAAACTGGGCTATACAGCAAGACTTTGTCTCAAAAAACAAACAAACCTCTAGAACTTTATCTTGAAAACTGAAACACTGTACCCATTAAATAATTCCCTTCCTCCTCCCCATCCAGTAGAATAGAATTTTAACCATTTCTAAATCAAATACCTGAATTATTTAGTAGTTAGTGTTTGCAAAACCTCAAGTCAACACTACGTTCCTAAAACATGGGTATGGGACAGTATTTCTCTCCCTCTGCTCCAATTGTTATTAATAACTGGGTAGGCTTTAAGTGTCTGTTAGTTGGAAGAGCTTATTTCAATTTAAACAAAGGGAAAGACATTTTAAATATCAGAATTAAGTTAACTTTGAATTTATACTAAACTGGAAAGACTATACTTTCACAGGTGATGTGAGCCTTAATGAAAATGTCAGTTGTCTTTAAGTCACTGCTCGGCTTCAGAAATGAACATTTCACTTGCTTGATTATGATAGGAATGCTGACTGATATTACTTGGTGCTCTATCTACATCTCCTTGGAACTTTAAGATATATATAATGAGAGCAGTATTAATAGTGAGTTGTACTTCTTTAAAATATTATTTATTTATGTTTTTTGGTACTGGGGATCAAACTCGGGTCCTTGTGCTTGCAAGGCAGGTGGCAGAACCACTGAGCTAAATCCCCAGCCCCACCTTTAAAATATTAAGTTGAGGAAACTCTTTAATGTTGTCTCATGTGTATGTTGCTTTGCTCCGGTGAGGGGGGAGTCCTGCAGGCTGAGTTCAGTGTCATGAAACACACCTGATTAATAGTAGGTGAGACTACACTATACAAATACGAGGTAGACAGTGGAGCTGACACACTAAAAGTGTAAGTTGTTACATGGGCATTTTCTACCTCCTTTTCTGTCAGAGTATTACTTTTTCCAGCTTTTACTCTTATTTGTGAATAAAAAGGAAATGAGAGCCTGAGGTTAAAACTGAAAGTACTGTTTTGTTAAAAATCAAAAGCAGTAGGTACAAAGAAGTGATCTGTCCTGTTCATTTGTTTGGACAATATGTCCAAACAATATTGATGAATATTTTAATTTTCCTGAATAGTCCTCTTGATTTTGTTTCATAAAAACAATTTGTTTCCTCCAAAAGGCAAAATGGCCTTGTAATTTTTTTGCAGGGGGTGGTCTGAGACAGGGTCTCACTATGTAGTTGAGACTGACCTGGAACTCACTATGTAGCCCAGGCTGGTCTCAAACTTACAGTTATCCTCCTGCCTCAGCCTCCCGGGGGCTGGGATTACAGGTGTGCGCCACCACACCCGGCCTGGCCTTGTAATTTTTAAGAAAATAAACATGTCACTTTATCTCAGATACATAATTTCAGGAATCTATTGAAAGTTCTGACTCAGGGCTTTTTAACAGTCTAAGCAATTGTTCATTCTATTTTGGAAGTTCCATCTACATAATTCTTTGGTGCCCTGAAGAATTATTAGCTTGGCAGCACCATTAAAGCTTCCCAGATGGCAGTCTCTGGGGCACATGTGTCACTACCTAAGTCACACCTGTTAGCTTCTGTAACTGTGACCCTGCGGTGGGATCTGTAATTCTTTAAAGGAAGATTTTTAGATTTGCACTTGATCTTTGTTTGTGTTTTGTTTTGTTTTTTTTACCTGATTACTTCTGACCATGATATTGTTATCAGAAAAGTGATTCTGTGTTTCATGATGCAGAGCCATCAACAGTAGTTTCTGGGAAGAAGAGAGCGAGCTTACAAGGGGTGCTGTTCAGCATTAAGGGGTGATTGGCTTGGGAAACGCTCTTCCCCTCAGATGTAAAAACAAGCAAAAGCCCTTGTTCAAGGTATTCACTTTTTTAAAAAAGTATTTAAAAAGGAAATCATGAATTACATGTCACTCTTCATGCTGGTCTTGAGACATTAAAGCTAGAAAACTGCTTTTAAGTTCTGTATGCTTGTATCATTCTAAATGTGGTATATTCAATGACAGAAGGCAGTTTAATGGACTCAGTAGTACTTTGATGTGTACATTTTTCCATTTTTTTAGTGCTCAGTGTTGGATGAATTTAAAATCTTATCTGTGGATAGTTTCTACATGGTAAATGATTCTTGCTTATTAACTTTTGTTTAAAACTTAGAGCTAAGCTTTCAAAAACAGACGGAAACATTTACCAGTAATAAAACTTGTGGTATAGTATTTTTCTCTGATCCTTTGAAAACTATTCTTTGTAGTAATATACATGAATTTCTATTTTTAAGGCATTTGAAAACAAATCTCAGTACATTAAAAAAAACTATTCTTGTTGGAAAGGAAATTACACTATCTTTGAGAAACAAGGACATCCGTATCCAGGTCAGTATGAGAAGCAGCATCCCCAGCTGTGTTTATGCGGTGGTTTATGTCTGGGTACCTCTGTTTAAGGATCAAGGCTGTTTGTATTTTAACATCTCCACACTCTTTCAGGTTAAGATGTATTACAAAAATGGTCTGAGGAGAATACACTTGATAAAAAGTAAATTAAATAGGAAAGTCCAACTTTTCTTTTTTGAAAAGAAAACTTACTCATCTTCACACCTTAGGTAACAGGTACGCATTTTAAAGCACTGGTTCATTTGCCTTTTTAAGAAACCATATTAGTCATTAAATGGCTTGGGGGCAATTTATTTTTCAAGTTAATAGAAGCACTTATTTGTGAAGTTGTCAAGAGGTTGTCAGGTTCTGATTCAAAAGAAATGTATCTTGGATGTTTAAGAGAAAAAAATAAAACAAAATCTTCTGTTCATTTGAAAAAAGCCTACGTATTCCAACTTTAAAATTTGTAAATTTATTTTGGATAACCTCTACCTGTACTTTTGTTTTACTCTGTTGCTATATAATTAGATATCTGGTGGCAATATTTTTATCAAATTGAAACTGTATAGGTTTTTAAAATAAAGACATTTTAGAAAAAAACAAAAAAATCTGAATTCTACCTGGATGGTAGAATCCAGGGGGTGGATGGCCACCCCTTAATCATAGAGACAATTCAGTGCTATTTAGTCTTGATTTTAGTTTAGTCTTACATTTAAAGAACAAAAAGCAGGTATTCAAATAATATTGCCTGCTGAGACACCAGAAACAACACTCTGAATAAACCTGCTTTGGGCTCTTTCAGAAGCAGAAGAATCTGCTCTTTTATGTTTCTATAGTTAGCATGAAAACTACAGCTCTAAAAGGGCACCCTTGAGAAGGCCTCAGGCCTTGAGGACATACTGTAATACAACATGGAACTGGATCATCTGGCCCGCCTCCACACTTCCACGGGGCCTGGGAAGCCACTAGCCTTCACCTTACACAGCATCAGAGAGTCGACTAACTGAACGTGCCACACAAACTTATAAAGAGAATAAAAATCCATACCTGAATATATCCTGTGTATCTAAATCAATATGAAGTCCATTGATGAAGAGAGCTGAATCTCCAGGCTGTAATCCTAAAGTTCCCTTGAAATACTGAAAAATTTTTTAAAAATTACAAATTATTAGGAAGCAATAACTTTCTACGTTTCTGGGCTTTATTACCCATACAAATCTTGACTATCTATGGCTGGGTCAAAATGTTTTTCTATGTATGCCCGAAACCCTTCATGGATCTACCACACTGTTTCCTTTAACGTCAGAGGCAAGTAGATAAGCCAAGGGCGGAGGGTCACTTTTCAAAAAAGGGACTGTGAATAATATAGGATTAAGTACACAAATTTTATTTCTATTTATTTATTTATTTATTTATTTATTTATTTATTTATTTATTTTGTACTGGGGATCGAACTCGGGTCCTTGTGCTTGTAAGGCAGGCGGCGGAACCACTGAGCCAAATCCCCGGCCCTCTATTTAATTTAAAAATATAACAAGTTTCTTCATGCCCCAAGATACATTAGTATACTGTACTTTCAGTTTCCTTTGGCAATAATACTTCTCAGAACTATCTGCAAGGAACTGAAGCTAGCATTTTTTTTTATCTTAAACCAGATATTAAGGGAATAGACAGACATGTTTATTTGTTCTTTGCTTAGGAACAAAGTCCCTCATAACCAAATAAATTGGCTCACCTCCTAAATACAGTATTAAAGACAGAAGTCAGCTATTAAAGGGGATTCACAGTAAGCTCTTCCCCTCTATCTAGCTACAGAGGCTCTGGAATTCCCCTTGCCTCTGCTCGCCACTGGCAGACAGAAGGGCAGAAGGCTGCCACCCTGGCCTTTTCATACTTCCATTGCTTCCCCTATTTGTGATGTCAACCAAGGTTGCGGTAGGAGTCAGTAAAAGCTGGACCCCTCGATGAAGTCCAGGAATACAAACCCCCAAAAAAGGATTCTGAGCTGCTGCACTAAGGATAGCACCCAGTGCAAGACCTGTCCTCAGTGGAACCCTTCACCTATTTCTCCCCACAGTGGTGGCAGCCCTGCACACAGGCGTGCAGTCCGAGACCTGCCTGAGCCAATGGAAACAGCACTCTGATTCCATGCTGTGGCTCTATTAAATAATCACCTTTCTGCTTAATTCTTTCTTCAAAGGAAACTGCAACTATTATTTGTATTTTTGAGAAGAGATGAAATTAATCAGATAGTAGAACAGTCCATAATCCCTTAAGAACCCAGGGCTGGGAAAAGGAAAAGAAGGAGCTCCTTCTCTCCCCAGTAGTCAGGGGACTAAGAAAAAAATGTAAGATCTAATAATGCACAGGGAAAACAAGGAAGCGAGGAAGCCACAGCTCCTGCTTCAATGGTGAGGGAGGTTACAGGATAACAGCAAAATATACACATATTTCAAACATACACTATAATACCACAAATATTTATCAATTTTTAAAAAAGAAGATAACGGAGAGCTGTGTGAACGAGAATGGGTTTTCTTCCATGAGGGGAGAACTCCAAACTCACTCGGACTGCTCTGGTCTGGTAAATGCAGTCAGGTAATTCCTGGATCTGGACGCTGGCTGTATAAATGGGCTCATTTTGGGAAAATCCAGCACACTAAAGACTTAGGAATTATCCAGGAATGGTGGTGCACGCCTGTAATGCCAATATTGAGGAGTCTGAGCAGAAGGACTGTGAGATTAATGCCAGCAAAGAACCTGCCTTAAAGAAAACAACAGTGTTCTGTCTTCCTTGGTAAGGAAGCTCTAAAAGTAAAACAATATTTTATATTTTCTGAAAATTAAAAATTAAATATAAATTATCAATAAAGTTTCCTTCAATTTAGTAAATGTTTGAAAAATGTTTATTTCTAAGATGTATTTCATGAACTAATATCTTACACTTAAACATTAAGGAAATTTGAGCTAAAGATAATGAACTAAACATGAGCATTTTTTCCCCTCCTAAAACTCTACTTGTAAGAAAGGATTCATCTAGTTATGAGGCCACAGGCAAGGAGACCCAAAGGGAAGAGAACAAATTTCAGCGGCCAGAAGGGAAGGTGGTGAGTTTAACTGTGCAAGCGGGTCTGAGGGCAGGAATGGGAAGGAGAAACCCAGTTACTTTGTGGACGCTTCACTCCAGAGAGACAGGGGCTCAGGGCCTGGCGGAAAGAACCACCTGGGCGCAGGGCCCCCCACGGAAACTGGAGGACTAACGGTGTACCACCAAGTTCTTCCTCCCAGGGCTTCTATAATCCTGGCAGCGGACCTCACTCTCTAGGAAGATTAGCAGTTCAATCCCTAGTACTGCAGAAACAAAACAAAATGAAAGGAGGTTTAATCCAGGTGTGCTGGTACACACCTGTAATCCCAGCACTCAGGAGGCTGAGGCAAGAGGATCACTCTGAGTTCAAGGCCAACCTGGGCTATAGTGAGTTTAAGGCCAGATTGAACTACATAGCAAGACCCTGTCTCAAAAAAAAAAAAAAGAAGGGGCTGGGGATTTAGATAAGTGGTTCTGCCACCTGCTTTGCAAGCTCTCGGTCCTGAGTTTAATCCTTGGTAACCAAAAAAAGAAAGAAAAGAAAAGAAAAACCTAAATAAATAAATAAATAAATAATCCAAAATGAAAGGAGTTAAAAGAAGGCCCTGGAATGCCCGGTATGCACTAAAGCAACCAGTCAAAATTAGAGAGGATCACAGCACAAAATACCAGAAAGATGGAAAGATGGAACAAGGGCCAGTATGAGGTAGTGGTGAAACACTGAAAGGTCAGCAGTGAGAGAGAGAGAAGCCTCATCCTCACAGTAGAAGGCCAAAATGAAAGGTCTGACAGTAAGAAACAGAACACCAATTTAAGCATGCTAGAATACTATCAGAGAATCACCTACAATTTGAAAGTGGGTGTCTCTGGGAAGGGAGACATAATTGGATAAGATATGTGAGGGGGCTGTTTTTCTAAATGATGTGGCAGCACTGCCACGTGGACCTTTCAATGATGTTCATATTCAACTCTGATTAAAAACTAAAAATATATAGATTACAGAAATGAGCAAAATAATACCATCTTTGATAAAAGTTAACACTAATAAATGTCATGTATTAAGCACAGATTTCATCTTTAAAAATATAATAAAAAAATAAAAATACAATAAAAGGTAGAAAAATGAGTATTTTCCATTGGTTAATACCTTCTGATTCTCTTCCACTTCAGTTCTAAGTTCTGAACTCACAGCTGTTTTTGTTATCACTCTATGGGATAAAAATATCATCAGTATATAGTCTAACATTTGATATAAATGTCTTCTATGTTCCTATTTTTGAAAGTATGAAACATGTTGTTCAATAAAAGATAGAAAACTAGAATGGACAACCTCCAACCTTTACAATTAATGTACATATTTTTCCTTACTATAAGATATAACATCAAAGAAAACTAAGATGGGAGTTTTTTGTTTGTTTTTGGTTTTTTTGAGACAGGGTCTCACTATGTAGTCGAAACTAACCTGGAACTCACTATGTAGCCCAGGCTGGTCTCGAACTCACAGCGATCCTCTTGCCTCAGCCTCCCGAGTGCTGGGATTACAGGCATGCACCACCACGCCCGGCTAGATGGGAGTATTTTACAGCAAGTACAGCTGTCTCTAAATTCTTAGTTGAATATACTAATACTCAAACACAAAGGGTAAAGTTAAATAAACTAAAGCAGCGAACTTTTCATCTTCTGTAAGCACTGATGGCAGAGAAAGAATCCTCCTTGTATATCCTAATATGTCAGAAAAGATCTCTTAGATAGAACTTATAAATTATATTGCTAAAAATTTTATTTACAAAGCAGCCCATATCAAAAAACTTCATTTAGTGCCTCCAGAAAAAGATTGGCAGTAATTTACATCAACAGTGTCTGAAAATCTGGCTTCTAAAATAATTTGCCTTGCATGTATGAGATGTAAATGAAAATTATACAACAGAAAGCAATGTTTAAAAATTCCACATCTTACTCCATCACTATGAACAAGTCACTTAGCCTGGCCAGCTCTATTTCTTCAGCAGTATTACTAAGATGATACACATACAGGAAGCAATGGCTTGGGCCAGACTCCCTAGTCGTCACATCAGCATATGCTGCATTCTGCGACGCATCCAATCCCAAAAGGCAGGTACTGCTATTCTATTGCTAACAGAAATGAGGGAGAGACATCATTTATTTGTGGATGTTAACATAACTAGTAAGAGGCAGCACCAAAGCAGCACCTGTGTCCATCTCTTCAACCACACAACGCAGTCTTGCCCACTCCTCAGAAACACAACACCATGTGCACGAGTGGTGGTGATAAATCTTTCTTTTCTAAGCATTTTCCTATTTTAATTATATCATTTAGCAAGTAAACATGAAGACAAATGGGTATAATGTTAAATAGAAGAATATATCAAGGCTTTACTTTATATTACCTGGCTTTGGTGGGAAAATTCTGACTAACATCCTTCATAACCACCAAAGCTAGCTCTGCAGGAGCAGCCAAGATTCGGGCAGCAGTCTGGAAACTGAGGTCTGTAACAATGCCAAGTGGAGTTTAGAGGGTATTAATCTAATGCAGTGAAAAGCAGAAAATATTTAGGCTTATTTCCCACTATGCTCTTGCTAATAAAGAACTCCTTAGAATGCAACCATTCCACAGAGAGTTCATGGTTTAGTTTCAGTTCACTCACCTCATGGCTCCATAGTGTTCACTGAGCCATTCCTGATCTAGTAACACATTTAGCAAAGGCTAAACTGAGCCCAAACCCTTTTTCTTCTTCTCAATTTAAAATGTATCACAAGCCATGAGTGGTGGTGCACACCTGTAATCCCAGCAGTTGGGAGGATGAGGCAGGAGGACTGCCACTGAGTTTGAGGCCAGCCCGGACTACATAGTGAGTTCAAGGCTGGCCTGAACTACATAGCAAGACCCTGTCTCAAAAAACCAAAAGAAACATAAATAAATAAATAAAATTATCACAAAATATAGCTTAAGGCATTTAGCAAATTATGGTGGAAATTTTTTGATAAATCATTCTTTACACAAAAGCACATATACATTCTACCTCTTATAAACTTTCAGCATTCTACAGATATACAGTTTAAGAAATGTAGGGCCAGGGATTTAGCTCAGTGGTTCTGCCGCCTGCCTCATAAGTGCAAGGTCCCGCATTTGATCACCGGTATAAAAGGAAAGAAAGAAAGGAAGGAAGGAAGGAAGGAAGGAAGGAAGGAAGGAAGGAAGGAAGGAAGGAAGGAAGGAAGGAGGAAAGGTATATATACAGGAGCATAAGACTAGATGTGTTTCTAGTATTCCACGACTCTGCATATGGTCAGAGAGAAGGTTCTGTACTCATTTATATGTATTACTTCAATCGAATGTTATTTGTCTTCAAAGTATTTGCTGCTTCTCTGATTAATCATAATCACTCTTATCTTTAAAATTTGCAGTACTCTCCTAATCGTGCAAATATACCCAAATTTGAATTCTGCATGTTTTAATACCACCAAAAGAAGGCCAATGATCCCTCTACATTTTTTTTTTTTTTTTTTTTTTTTTTGGTACCAGGGATTGAACTCAGGTCCTTGTGCTTGCAAAGCAGGTGGTAGAACCACTGAGCTAAATCCCCAACCCCTCTCTACATTTTTATTACCTTGTAATTGCCAAACTTTCAAAGGTGCCATTTCATTGGTGCTCTCCACAAGATGCTTTCTGAGTTCTTTCAACTGTTCAGTCAGCTCAGGATGCAGGTCTCTGAAAGAAATAAAAGCAGTCCTTTTCTCACAGCACACTTAGACAGAAGAGAGCTCCAACTTCATTTTCATGATGTTCTCTCTCAAGCCTAAGAAAATTTCATCTATACAGGCAGAAAAAAAAATTTCAGTACAGTAGTTTTCCTCCAAAAATAATAAACACATTGTAAGTTAAACCATCATAAAATTTACAGATTAAATCTAAATCACGTAACAGAAAATTTAAAAAGAGGTGATAAAAATATTGATTTCTCTGCTTCTAAGTGAAAGACTGAAACAATTGGTCACACACACACACACACACACACACACACACACACACATATATTTCTTGTGGGTGTGAGTGGGTGTGGTAACGGGGATCTAACTAAGAACCTTGCACTTGCCAGGCAGGTGCCGCGCCACTGAGCTACATCCCCAGAGATGACATGTTATAGTACATAAGTATTTACAGCATCCAATTCAACAGCATCAGATATAGGTTAAATAAGTCTTGTGAACTAATAGTACAACAGCATCATGTATTGATCTGGGGACCATTTCATAAATAATAAATGCCCAGAATCAAAGATTTGTTCATTTTAATGCAAAATGGAAATTGAAGAGACTTACATCTCTGTTATTTCTAGAAGTCCCTAAAGAACATACACCAAAGTGTTGGGAAGTTCTTCCAAATCTACTTTACAGCATTATGTGCAATTAAGCTGTTATAACATAACTGCAGGGCATAATTGTTGGGTCCATTTTCTGGATCTTATAAAGTACCTGGAAAATAGACCTCTTGAGAGAACAAAGTTCATACAGATTATTGGAGAAAGACTATATACTCAAGCAAGATCGTTTTTTGAAGAGGTAACTTGAAACTCCAAGAAACACCTCATGTTTTCAGGTTTGTTTTTTCGGTACCAGGGATTGAACTTGGGGCCTTGTTCTTGTGAGGCAGGCAGCGGAGCCACTGAGCTAAATCCCTGGCCCCATCTCATGTTTTTATATGCTTGCAGAAAACTGATATTTTAACTGTAGTTTTATATATAGTATTAATGCTTTTATGTATTTCAGAATTTTTGTGTTAAAAACAATGTTTTAAATGTGTTAATTGTTGAAGTTTAGGTATGCAGGTACCCAGCGTGCTAAAAGTCACTTATGTTTCAATATGTGGGCAATATTAACATGCAACTCTAGTTTTACATTTTTTTCTTTGAAAACAGAAGATAAATCACTAGAATAGTGATTCTTTAATGGAGGGTAAGGAGACTAAAAGCAGGTATAGGTGGGACTTGAGCTTTACCTGTAGTGCTTTATTCACCCGTTCTATTTTTAAATAAAAGAAGCCTTATGTTGGAGAAACATAGAAACTCTGATAAATAGTTCTTTGGGATAGCAAAGCAGTGTATCTATCAACAGTCAATTTGGGTGGTGAGCCCATGGGTATATATTGTTCTCCATATTTTTCACAGATATTTTAAAATCCAAAACTAAAACTGAAACAAGCAATTGCTGTCAGTCCCAAGATGAATTTCTTTCAGCCTACAAGCTCTTAAATCCTTTAGTCACATGAACACAATTCAAACTAAACACAATTGTAAGGTTTTATCTGGAAATAGTGTACAAACCATTTCAAAGCAGTAAAACAGTTACCAGAGAAAGAGATATATAACATTTAGGTCAGACAGACAGATGGCTGAGAGGAGTTCTGTTCTTTCAAATGCCAGAAACTCAATTTCTTAGCTGCAACCTGCGGCCAACATAAATATTCACTCAGGTCTTTCACTTTCAAACAACCTAGTTACCACAACATTCTCCATAATAAAACATCAAAAATGGTTCAATTATTTTGGATAGCTAAATAGCTATTTTGAATGTCCAAAAGGAAAATGTCTTCAATGTTATACGTAATATATTTATGTTGAAAATGCATAACATCATGCTATCAAAAACCCTACAAATATGAATACGCAAAAGACTATGAAAAGGTGGATCAAATAAAAGTGGTACCTGACTACACACTAATGACACCAAAGCTGATGAGGGGCTGTGTCGTGGTGACGTTAGCACTCTAGGAGGCTGAGGCACAAAGACGCTAAGTTTGAGCCCCATCAGGCAGCTTGGTGATTCTGCAAGACCTGCTCTCAAAATTTTAAAAGTAAACATTTTAAAAAGGCTGGAGATTCCACTGCCTGCCTCACAAGCACAAGGACCCCAGTTCCATCTCTGGTATCCCCCCCAAAAATAGGCTGGAGATGTTGCTCACTGAGAAGGTCCTCAATTCAATCCTTAGTACTGTAAAACTATAATAAATAAATAAAATAGAACCTGCTGATAAATAAGAAATGTACATATGCATAGAAGTAACTCAAGGTGTCAATAGCAATTCAACTTGAACTAAAACATAACCTGATTAAATCATCTCATTTAGCCAAATGTCAAGGCTGATGTGCATGAAACTGCCTTCAGTATACACTCTATACATGAATGTAGTCTACTGAAAATAAATAATAAAAGCACACTGCAGATGTGCTAATTAAAATTTCTACGTAAAGAAGAATTCAGGGCTCTGCAAAATTATCAAGCCAGAACAAAATAACTGCAAAAATAAAAGTAATAGCTAAAGGGCTGGGGATTTGGCTCAGTGGTTCTGCTGCCTGCCTAACAAGCACAAGGGCCTAAGTTCAATCCCCCAAAAAGTAAAGTTCAATCCCCCCGCAAAAAGTAATAGCTAAGACAACTTCTCAGCTACAAAATATTACAATACTTTTATAAAACGGTTATACATCTATGAAACTTTAAAAATTCCACCATCAAAAATATTTTCAATTCCTTGCCAGACATTATTGTGCACATCTGTAATCCCAGCTACTTGGAAGACGGAGGCAGAAGGACCACAAGTCCGAGGCCAGTCTGGACAACCTGGGGTTAGAAAACTAAAGAAAAACAAAGGGGGACTGGGGATGAAGGTCAGTGGTGGAGCCAACTGCAAGGGCCTGGCATCAATCTCCAGTGCCAGACAAAAAATGCTGTCTATAAAATGCACTTCAACAATCACATCTTTCATATTTTTTTCAGATGTTTAGAATAAACAACCAAGACTACTCTAATTTAAAATACATTATTTCTCCCCTTGAGAAAAAAATTACATGAAAGAAGTTAACTTATCCCATTATTCAATAAAAAAAAAACAGCATCCAACTTTATGCCATCAAATGAGGGAAAACTATAACCAATTTAAACCACAGTCAGGACACAGTGTCATGTGTTTAGGGCTGGGGATACAGCTCAGTGCCAGAGGCCCGGGGTTACCTCCTCAGCACTACGAAAACAACACAAAGCAAAGCATGAGAAAAAAAATAACATGTTTCAAAATACCTGGAAATACAAACATGACAATAAAAGTGGGTATTTCTCCATGTAGATTTACGTATGTCAATACCTCAGTCAGTAATGGAAAGATGACGCTAAGAATGCAAGGAAGCCTGGAGAACAGAGGGTAGATATACCGTTACACACGTACCTTAGCCTTCCAAAGAGAAACCCTTGAACTTCATCAATGGGATCATTTTCACCAATGACTGTAGTATTTACCTCAATTCCTATAAAGAGATAGTAAATACATGTCTAACGGATCAGATTAGAAATGAAAATGGTTTAACCTTGTAACATTTGACTAATGTAAAAGTCAGAAACACCCGAAATTTTAATGACATTTAATTAATGTTTGCAAAAGATCTTTAAATAAATGTGTTTCAATAGTCCTTGTGTTCCTTGTTTGTTTATTTGAATAGTCCTAGGTACTGAAACCAGAGGCTATGTTGAACTACCGTTCCTAGCCTTTTTTATTTCTTAATTTGAGACAAAGTCTCGTTAAGTCACTGAACTGCCCAGGCTGGGCTCAAACTTGTAATCCTACTGCCTCAGCCTCCCAGAGTGCTGGGATTACAGATGTGCTCAGAAAGAATATATTTTTATTTTAAACTTTAGAAAATTTTACAAGCTAAAAGTTTCAAAATTAATAGCTTTTAATATTATGGACAAAGAATTTTTCAAAGACAAAATTCTGAAGAATTTGCAGTTAGGCAAATTAATCCTAAATATAACTATTTTAGGGGGAAAAAGATGATGAGGTATTAGCTTATTAACCATTTTTTTCATTACCCAAACTGAGCATTTTTGTTTTAAATGAGCTTAAAAAGAAATAAAAAAGCATATAAAGCTCAACTGATATAATAAATTCAAAACCCTATAGTATTACAACAGGAAGAACCCACAGTAAAATGTTCTAAGTTCAAAAAATAAAACAGAACAAGATTCAAGCATAGGCTCATCATTCTCCAAAATCTATTCTTTTTCATGATAGAAACAAATTCCCCTTAACTCACAGTAACAGAAAACATACTGGTCTTATTTTTACAAATTCACCTTTCACCTGAGTATCGTCCTTGGCCTTGTACTCAGTGCTCTTAATGGCCAACTCCACACCGTAGCCAGAGAGGTGCACTGGCTCCTTCCTGGGATTCTGCAAACAGAGCAATTATTTCACCATCACCACCTAACTTGTTATGGTTACAACATGCTCAACACGGCTTGTCAGCACTGCATGTAGTAGACATCATCTGTGATTGTGCAATCAAAATATCACTTTTTATAGAAACTATGTATAAAGAGAGTTTATTAAACACCAACAATCACAGCAGCACATAACCTACCATTTAAAAATGTATTCAATTTTCCAAAAATCAATTCAAAGTTTGTTTTCCTCTCTAAAAACAAATCCTAGTTTTGTTAGTATTTTGTATCTTGTCCCAACTGTGGAAATGAGAATTCCCAGAAAGACATAAAATCAGAATTTTTCACAATGGATTATTGAAAGGGCAAGGATTCCAAACTATATGAGGACATAGAGAATGAGAAAAAGAAAGTGCAGAACAGAAACAGCAAGTCTGAAAACTGGTGTGACTCAAACATGAAATGCTCTGTTAGAATTAGGCTGACCATGTGCCACAGGCTCACCACCACCCCAAATGATGACGGCCCTTCAAAACTTTTAACCTTTAATACTGGCAATGGGCCTGGGGTTCAGAGGCAAAAGAGGAGTTTTCAAAAACTGCACTGCAATACATTTGTTTCTGTTCATTCAAATTGTCATTTAAATTTTTTGGGTTTTTTTTTTTTGAGACAGGGTCTCACTATGTAGTTGAGACTGACCTGGAACTCACTATGTAGACCAGGCTGGTCTCAAATTCAGAGTGATCTTCCTGCCTCAGCCTCCCCAGTGCTGGGATTACAAGTGTGCGCCACTACGCCCAGCTCATATAAATTTTTTGACTTGTATAGTCTAGGCACCTAATATTGACTGAACTTATAATAATCATAAATATTTTAAATGCTAAGGGTTACACACTTAATTCTAAAGCAATTCTGTTTGATTTCACCTTTTTTTTTTTTGTACCAGGGACTGAATTCAGGACCTTGCACTTGCAAGGCAGGCAGTGGCAACACTGAGCTATATCCCTGGCCCTTCACTCCTTTTTAGAAACTGTCTCCCTCTCATCAAATGAAAGGGTGCCAAAAACAATAAAGAAACAAAAAGGGTTGAAAAGAAACTGAATTCAAGAATCAATTCTGTATTATCATGGCTACATTAAATTTAGAAGAGATTTTATATATATAATTTTGAAATAAAATCAGGCCACTTTTTTTTTGAGACAGGCTCCCACTATGTAGCTTAGGTTGGCCGTGAACTCGCTATGTAGTCTAGGAAGGCCTCAAACCTGGATCTCGGGCCTTAGCCTCCCAAGTGCTAGGATTACAGGCATGCACCACCAGGCTTGGCAAAATTAGGTCACTTCTTGCATATAATTCACATTTCTTGAGAAAGGCAAGCAAGGCAATGGCATTTCAGATCTGATAAAAAGTACTGAATTTCTCTAAAAAGCATTTCAAATAACAATTATTTCATGAGGGAAATTATTAGCTGATATTCTAAAGTCATGCTTGGCAAATGAATATTCAAAACACTTGTAAAATAAATCAATACTTACAGATACATAATGTCTGAACACATAGTTGATTTTGCCTGCATTGCTTTTTGATACAAGTTGATGGTGGAAACTAGAAAATTCTTGAAGGCCTATCTCAGAGTAGAAAATCACCACTGGGCTTTCAGGATTTGATGAAGGATACCTGTGATCTCCTTTGAACAATAAAGGTTTGGGTCTGGAAATAAATGTTACAATTTTTAAAATTTTCAATGTAAAAAAATTTTAAGCACTTAAAACAAAACCAGACAAAATGTCAAGTATAGCTATGATAATTTAAGATTACAAGTATACTAATATAAATCATATTACACTCAAATAGTTTTCACTTAGAACATTGTCATGTGAGTCTTGCTTGTGACTGCAAAAACTAAAAGTATACTACACAAACATTAATTATAAAATACAGACTTGTATAACAATTGTTACCACTCCCTAGTGAAAGAAAACCAAGTCAAGGTGAGGAGGCTTTAGGGGGGAATGGGATAAAATTAAATTAAATTAAATGTATTTTTTAAAAAAGAGAGGCTGGGGATTTAGCCACCACTGCCTGCCTCACAGGCAAGGACCCAAGTTCAATCCCCAATACCAAAAACAAAAGGAGAGAGCCAGGGATTTAGCTCAGTGGTTCCACACCTGTGTCACAAGCACAAGGTCCAGAGTTCGATCCTCAGTACCAAAAAGAGAAAAGATAACCGAGGTAGAAAAAGAATACATACCCAAATCTCACAGTACTAAGCCTGTAGTATTTTTTTATCATATAGAATAGAATTATTATTTTATCTGAAACATAAGTACAAATAATGCACAAAGCAGAGGATGACTTTGAGCATATAAACTGACAATTATAATACTCTCCTCTCTCCTCTCTCCTCTTCCAGTAGTTGTAACATTTCAGTTTTTCTTATAAAATTTTAAACTTTTCCAAAAAAAGGAAAAAAGAAAACCAAAAAATCTTCTCTGGGGAAGCATCAAGACTTTAATGGATTTTAATGTGTGGCCTACCAATCTCTACTATGATAAACTATTTGACAGAAGGCAAAGATATCCATTAATAGCCTTACAAAAGCAAAAAAATGAAAAAGCAAAAGGATTGAAAGGACCTGACAATGCACCAGTAAGTCATTCTTACTTAGGTTTTTATGCATGTGTTAAAAATATTGAGGTACACCTACATGAGCAAAACGGAATGATGCCTCTTGCAAAAGTAAACTATACTTGTATAAATTTAAAACCAAGAACAAAGTCTTACATGATAAATGCCAATATATTAAAAAGTAGCTACTATCTCTTAGAAAGATGTCACTATTACTCTTTTATCAAGACCTGAATTATGGTTGCAATAAAGTTTTAAAGAATTACACAGTCATCACTGTTACTCCCTGAAGTGAGCACATTTAACCACGGCACTATTCCATGTGTGCTCACAGCTGGTTGCCTTATACACTGTTTATCAGCTGCCAGCCTGAGGAAGGGGTACTAATGCCATTTAAGGGGCAGAGGACACATTCTAGGCAGCTAATGTCACTTATGAAGACTTAGACCAACACACTTCCATTAGCATTTCTCACATCTATAGCACACCGTATTCATAGCAGCTTTAGAGGGGATATAAAGGGGTTGCTGCTATAGCCAGACAGCAAAATAGACACCTATTACAGCTGTCCACCCCAGGAAATGTACAACTCGCTAGGCAAAAAACACCTAACTCATAAAATACCAATTTTATATTTGAATCAGCTTACAATTACCATTCAAATAGGCTACTTTAAATCTATTAATATCATTACTTCAGGCAATGGCTTTCATACACACAGTATTCTTTGCTAACCTAATAATAAAGCCTACTTAGACTCGCAGATAAAGTCATTACTAAATTAATGGGAATAGCAAACACTCTTATTATCTCCATTTGCGTGAAAAGGAAAGAAAAGTTACTTGTCCCATTTCACAAAACTGGGCCAGGGATGCAGCTCAGTGGTGATGTGCCTGCCTGACAAACACAAGGTCTTGAGTTTGATCCCCGGTGAAGAAAAAAACAAACAAAAAAAAAACCCACCATTTCATAAAACTATTTTTTTCTTTCTCATTAAGTTTATTGGCACTTTCCAGATACACAGTATTCATAAAACTATTTTTTGCCGGGCATGGTGGCGCACACCTGTAATCCCAGCACTTGGGAGGCTGAGGCAGGAGGATCGCTGTGAGTTGGAGACCAGCCTGGGCTACATAGTGAGTTCCAGGTCAGTCTCAATTACACAGTGAGACACAGTCTCAAAACAAAAAAACACCAAAACAAAACATAAAACTATTTTTAAGTGCAGCTGAGATGCATATTTAGTCACTCTGAATCCAGAATCCATACTCTAAACTATTACACCTAGAGACCACAAAATAGAAAAGTCAGAAGGTGAACTTACCACAGAAAAAGGGCAAGGAGATGCTTGGATTTAAATGAAGAAACACACAACCTACCTTCCAGACGCTGTTAACAGAAGGGTCTCCAGGACACCAAAATCACAAGTCTTCTCTCCATGCACGGAGAAAAATGAATTACATCCTTCTGGTGGAGGCTCATCAGCCGCTACCTGTCATGTAAACCACAGTGTCTATTCTTTAGCATTTCTAATCAACTCTGAGATAGAATCATGTATGTTCTAAACACATGATTAAATTATGACAAACCACTACCATTAAAGGCAAAAATTAACATCTACGGAACATCGGGCCAGTGGTCTTCATTATGTTACTGAGTTCTTCCTGCATCACCAGGAGGTAGTTGCTAGGATCACCGCCAACAGAATGTTAAAATTTGATCTTTCAAGATCAATACCTATCAATTATGACAATCAATGTAAATGGACTCCTCTCACCAATCAAGACACAGATTAGCAGAATGGATTAAGAGACAAAATCCAATGGTATGCTGTACACGAAAAACACATTTAACACAAAAAGAAATTCACAACTAAAAATCAAAGGATGGAAAACAAACCCATGTAATGGGAACCCAAAAACAAGCAAGAGTAGCTATGCTGTTTTCAGATAAAGTGAATTTCAAGCCAACACTGATAAAAAGAGGCAAAGAAAGACATTACATATTGTTTTTTTTTTTTTTTTTTTTTTTTTTGTACCAGGGATTAAACCCGGGTCCTTGCACTTGCATGGCAGGCCACCGAGCCGCTGAGCGAAATCCCCAGCCTAAGACATTACATATTGGTTAATGGAACTAGTCAACAGGAAGAGATAACAATTATAAACATACATGCAACAACCATATTACACCCAACTTCATAAAACAAACTCAAGTGGACATAAAAGATCAGATAAACAGCCATGCAATTATAATGGCAATACCCTACTAGCACAAATGGACAAAAACAAAAAATCAACAAAGAAATATCAGAGTTGAAACCAACCTTCAAGCAAATGGACGTAATATACAGAAAGTCACCAACTTATGAACATCTGAGTTTTCACAAATACAAATGGACCTTCAATTTGGATTTTTTATGCTTCGTGTCAAAGGTGTATTGTATATTTGTATCAAAGGTATATAAGATGCACCTTGTTGGACATATGAACGAATCTGACTTACGAATGTTCTCCTTGAACAGAACTCATTCGTAAGTTAGGTACTTACTATAATGTTTCACCCAACAATAACAGAATATACATTCTTTTGGGATGCACTTTCTCCAAAATACACCACATACTACCTGATAAATCATGCCTAAATAAATGCTAAAGAATGAAGATTTTGCCATGCACATTATCAGATCATAATGCAATGAAACTAGAAATCAACAGCAAAAGAAAACACAGAATATATGCAAACATACGGAAAGTAAACAACATAGTTTATTCAAATGAATAGGTCACAGGAGAAATTAGACAGTTTCCAGAATTAAATGACAATACCAATACAACATACCAGAACTTATGGACACAATGACAGCAGTCTGAGCCTGGTTTGGTGATGCCTGTAATTTCAGCACTTGGGAAGCAGAAACAGAAGGATCACTGTGAGTTCAAAGCCAGCCTAGGCTATATAGTGTGTTTAAGGCCAGCCTGAATTACATAGTGACATCTATCAGAAAGAAAACAAAGCAAAGAAAAGCAAAGCAAAGCGAAGAGAAAGAAAGCAGGCAGGCAGGCAGGTAGGCAAGCAGTCCTGTGAGGGATGCTGCAGCAGTGAATATCCACATCAGAAAAATAGAACAATGCAAACCTAAAACTTGTAGAAGGAAGAAAACCACAAAGATATGAGCAAAAATTAATGAAATGGAGACTAAAAATAAACAAAAAGAATCAATGAATCAAAGAACTGGTTCTTTGAAAGAATAAAATAGACAAACCCTTAGGCAATCTTACTGGAAAAAAAAAAAAAGGAAAAGACAAAAAATAATTCAATTAGAAATACATGAAGTAAAATTATAATGGACCCTGCTTAAATTCAGAAAATTATTAGACTACTTCACAAACATATAACTCAAACAATTTGGAAATGAGAAGAAATGGAAGGATTCCTAGGTACATATGACTTGCCAAAATTGAACCAACACTTAAAAATCTTGAATAATATAATAACAGGCAATGAAATTGAAGCAGTAACAAACAGCAAAACAAACAAACAAAATCTACCAACTAAGAATAGTCCAAAACGTGAAAGATTTACAGCCAATTTCCACAAGAATTTCAAGGAAGATCTAACACCAATATTCCTCAAACATTTCAACAAAATTGAGAGAGACGGAGTACTTCCAAAATCATTCTTGGAAGCTAACATTATCCTGATCCCAAAACCAGAGAAGTATCCAACCAAAAAAGAAACTATCGGCCAATTTCTCTAATGAATGTAGATGCAAAAATCTTTAATAACAAAATACTGGTAAACAAAATGCAACAAATCATCAAAAAGATCATATACCATTACCAAATAGTCTTCATCCCAGGAATGCAAGGATGGTTCAACACAAATAAAGATAAATGTAATTCATCATATGAACAGAAGCAAGGACAAAAATCACATGATTATCTCAATAGATGCAGTAAAAGCCTTTGACAAAATCCATCATCTATTCATGATTTTTACAAAAACCCTAAAGAAAATAGGTATAGAAAGTTTACCTCAACACAGTAAAAGCCATTTGTGAACAATCTCCCGATAACATCATATTAAATGGAGAAAAACTGAAAGCCTTCCCTCTAAAATCAGGAGCAAGACAAGGATGTCAATTAACACTTCTGTTCATCATAGTCCTCAAAACATTAGCCAGAGCAATCAGGTAAGAGAAAGAAATAAAAGGGATGTGTGTAGGAAAGGACAAAGTCAAAATATCATTATTTGTAGATAACATGATCCTTAGAAGATCCAAAAATGGATTACCTCGAAGGGATTAACTAAATTCAGCCATATAACAGGATACAAAATAAAGACACAAAAATCAATAGCATTCCTATACACTAAAAATGATCTCATTGTAAAAGCAATTAGGAAAACAATGCCAAAATAATATAAAAAAATTAAATACTCAAGTATTTAGCTAAGAAATGAAATACCTATAAAATGATACATATATCACTCTGAAAAAGGAAATTAAGAAAGTTATCAAAAAATGGAAAGATATTCTGTATCTGGATAGGCAGAATCAACATGATCAAATGGCTATACTTCCAAAACTGATATACAGATTTAATGCAATCCAAATCAAAATACCAATGGCATTTCACGCAGAACTAGAGAAAACAATGCAAAAATTTGTATGGAATCATAAGAGACCCAGAATAGCAAAAGTAATTCTGGGTAACAAAAGCAAAGCAGGTGGCATCACAATGCCAGACTTGAAGTCATATTATGAAGCTACAGTGATTAAAACAGCAATAGTACCGACACAAAAACTGGCATGTGGATCAATGGAGCACAATACAAGAAGCACAAATAACTCCAGGCACATACACCTATTTGATCTTTGACGGAGAAGCCCAAACATACACTGGAAGAAAAACAGAATCTTCAATAAACAATGCTGGGAAAACTGGCTACCACCTGCAGAAAATTAAGTCTAGATCCATCTATCTTACCATGTACTAAACTAAAATCAAAATGGATATCTAAATGTTAAAAAAGAATACCACTTAATATGCCAGAATATAAAACATGTACAACTCTTAAAGACCTAGGTACAGGCAAGAATTTTCTGAACAGAACCTTACTGGCATAAGAAATACCAATAATCAACAAATAGAATCATATCATATTACAAAGCTTCTGCACAGCACAGGAAATAATCAACAGAGTAAAGAGATTATCTACAGAATGGGGAAAAATTTGCCAGCTATTCCACAGAGGACTAACATCAAGAATATGTAAAGAGGGCCGGGTATTTAGCTCAGTGGTTCGGTGGCCTGCCTCGCAAGCGCAAGGACCCAAGTTCGATCCCCAGTACCAAAAAAAAAAAAAAAAACAATATGTAAAGAATGAGCCGGGCATGGTAGTGGTGCACGCTTGTAATCCCAGCACTCAGGAGGCTGAAGCAAGAGGATCGCTGTGAGTTTGAGACCAGCCTGGGCTACATAGTGAGTGAGACCCTGTCTCCCCACAAAAAAAGAATATGTAAAGCACTCTGGAGGCTGAGGCAGGATTGCCTGAACTATGTAATAAGACCTTGTCTCAAAAAAACCACAAACCAAAACAAAACGGGGTGGAGGATATTTCATTGGATGAAGGGATAAATTTGGTGAGGAGGAGGAATGTGAAAGAGAAGAGAGGCTCTAGGGTGCTAAAGAGATGTATTCATTCCCTGGCCCAAGGCATCTGTGTTTTGTGGATTCCAACTAAACACTAGCAAAGATCACTACCAAAAGCACTGAACTGCAACACACAGTCACTGCTACTACAACACAGAGAACAAGCACTGACAGATTTGTTATTTTCTTTTTTGATTTATTTTGAAGGAGTAAAAAAACACAAACCCAATTTAGATTTCTGTCAGCTAATGGACCACCAATGGCACTGCGGAAGCCACTTCACCAGCGGTCACACAGTGCTTCCAGGACACATCCACTCTTAGCATCCCTGTCCCACAGGCACCCAGAGTTGCAACTCAAACGCCTTCAAGGCAAGGCAAGAAATGAAACGAGTGAAGCAGGATGGAAGAAGACTATCGGATTGGGAGAAATGTCTCAAATTCCAGGTGACCACTGCCTTTGGGAAATACGAGACAATGTTTGAAGGCAGCTGGCAAATATACAAGATCTCCTAAATTTAAAAATACTAACAACTAATTTCAGCAAAAGATTTATTTGGTCTGAAGAGAAATCAAAGTATTAACAACTAATTTCAATGTCAAGAGAAAATAGAATTGTACATGCCAGTGGGGAGAAAAGACAGCAGCCTTTGTAGATGACTGAAAACTGAGGCTACAGGTAAAAGGAAACGTAGATAAGCACTTAATTCTAGTTGGTAGTTTCTTAAGGGGGCACAGGTTAACCATTCTGAAGCCACTGTGCATATACAAAAGCAGGAGAGGGGGTAACTGTAATGGAAAACGACCTTAGCCAAGTGGTCATGGTCAGTCTAAATCAT